CCACAAGAAAGTATTCTAGAACTATACTCATGACTCCCAGTACCTGATCTTTGCACACACTTGACATCTTTATGATAGCTGTATCACTCCGCATCTCATACTCCACGCTGTTATCAGCGTAGGTAGCTTATCGATATGACCACTGATTCGAATCAACCTGCAGATGGAGATGTACCTTCTGCTCTAATCGCACAAGCTGAAGCTGCAATTTATGGCAATATTGAGGATAACGATCAATCACAACATGAGAGAAGGCACTCCAGGCATCCAGAAGATGCCGCGGGCTCCTCCACGAATGCGCCTCCTTCATCGTCGTTCGTATACATTCATCCTTCGGATCTGAACGTCTACTAATTGCTTGTTTGAACAGTGCACATCGTCCTTCGTACTTAGGCATCCCAGATACAGAGTCTCATTACGAGACAACGGAACCTCCACCTGCATATGGAAACAAGCATAATGAAATAGAACTCAGTCAAGACGGGTTTGATACCCAGGCAAAGGTCTCTGATGATGGTCGAATCAATATAAACATCAACCAGAAAACTCGCAAATTATCCGATCTTCTTATACCCGCCCTCCGAAATCAGCTTTTACTTAACGCACAAGAAGATGCGCATCCCCTCCCTCCAGGATACATACCACCTGCGCTAGGAGGATTACCAGGCCAGACACCTCCACCTCAACTCAATGTTGTCATACATGTTGTTGGTTCTCGAGGAGACGTGCAGCCATTCGTTGCGCTAGGTAAAACATTAAAATCTACCTACGGACATCGTGTTCGTCTAGCAACGCATCCAACGTTTAAAGGTTTCGTGGAGGAAAATGGATTGGAGTTTTTCAGCATTGGTGGTGATCCTTCTGAGTTGATGGCATTCATGGTAAAGAACCCAGGTCTCATGCCAGGTATCGAGTCCCTGAAAAGCGGCGATGTCGGCAAAAGAAGAAAGGGTATGGAAGAGATTGTTCTGGGTTGTTGGAGGTCGTGTATCGAAGCTGGAGATGGATTAGGCCCAGCTCCTAATAAATCCGGATCGCAATTATCGTTGGGCCTCGAATCGGGTATCAATATGGATACTAATCCGTCGGATAGGCCATTCGTTGCGGATGCGATCATTGCTAATCCTCCAAGTTTTGCACATATACATATTGCGGAGAAATTAGGAATACCACTGCACATGATGTTCACGTGCGTATCTCTCCTACATTATGCTAATAGACTTTTGCTTACTTGTACACAGAATGCCATGGTCGCCTACTCAGTCTTTTCCTCATCCTTTAGCGAATATTCAATCCTCTAACGCAGACGTGAACATGACTAACTTCATATCTTATGCACTTGTTGAAATGATGACATGGCAAGGACTTGGAGATGTTATCAATCGATTTAGAGAAAGGGCTCTTGGACTTGATCCTATTAGTTTAATTTGGGCACCTGGAATGTTGAGTCGCCTTCGTGTTCCATACACATATTGCTGGTCGCCTGCACTTATTCCGAAGCCAAAAGATTGGGGAAAGCACATCTCGATATCTGGATTTTATTTTCTCTCTCTGGCGTCTTCCTATACTCCTGAGCCAGATCTTGCGGCTTTTCTTGCAGATGGCCCGCCACCTGTTTACATTGGATTTGGTTCAATTGTGGTTGATGATCCTAATGCGATGACAACGCTCATTTTTGAAGCTGTCAAGAAAACTGGTGTCCGGGCTTTAGTATCTAAGGGATGGGGAGGTCTCGGCGGTGATGCGCTTGACGTACCCGAGGGAGTTTTTATGTTGGGTAACGTGCCTCACGATTGGCTTTTTCAACATGTGTCTTGCGTTGTTCATCATGGAGGTGCTGGAACCACTGCTGCCGGTATTGCTACAGGTAAACCTACCGTTGTCGTGCCATTTTTCGGCGATCAGCCATTCTGGGGTGCAATGACCGCCAGAGCTGGAGCGGGTCCACTACCCATTCCGTACAAGCAACTTACTGCCGATAAACTTGCCGCAGCTATTACTGATGCTCTCAAGCCTGAAACTTTGGCAAAGGCGCAAGAATTAGGGGCTAGGATTAAAGAGGAGAAGGGTACTGAAGAGGGTGGGAAAAGCTTTCATGATCATCTAGATGTTGATAATATGAGATGCTCGTTAGCACCACACAGAGTAGCAGTCTGGAGGGTCAAGCGTACTCAAACAAGGCTTAGTGCTCTGGCCGCGAATGTTCTTGCTAGTGAGAATCTTATCAGTTTTGCGGATTTGAAATTGTAAGTTGTTTTGCATATGCTATTATTCAAACAATGGCTGACAAACTGAAAAAATTAGATATCGTCCAAAAGAATATGAAACTGATGATGGTCCATGGGATCCAATATCTGGAGGGGCAACTGCACTTCTGGGAACTATTGCAAGTCTCAGTATGGGTGTAGCGGATTTCCCTATCGAAATCTTCAGAAAAGTGAAGCGAGAAAAGGAAGCTCATGCTGCTGCTAAAGAGCCATCAAGTGCTTCTGCTACACCGAAGTCTTCCATGCAGGGTCGGTCTCAGGATCATTTACTATTAGACGAAAGATCGCTTAGTTCGGTTGACGCTAGTCTGCTGAAAGCATCAGGTTCGTCAGTGAAAACTTCTTTCGAGAGCAGTCAGCGATCCTCGAATGATATTGATACTCCTTCAACGCCAAGTACCCGGAGTTCAATATCGCACATAGCGAGTCCTGGTATCAAGCATACAAATTCGTTGCGCCAAGTGTTGAAAGATAACATAGAATCCCGTCATTCTGGCAATGATTCAGGTTCCGAGACACCCAAGGAATTTGATCCTTCCAAGTTGACGATTGAAAATGCTGTAGGAGCAGGAAAAGGCATCTCGCGTATAGTTGGTGCGGGGTTGAAGTCACCCATGGATTTCACACTGGGTCTGGCGCGTGGATTTCATAACGCACCTAAATTGTATGGGGATGATACGGTCAGGCCACAAGAAAAGGTGACGGACTTCCAAAGCGGATTGAAGGCAGCTGGAAGGGAATTTGGTTATGGAATGTTTGATGGGATCACTGGTCTTGTTACACAACCTTTACGTGGCGCGGAGAAGGAAGGTGCTGCTGGACTCATCAAAGGTATCGGAAAAGGTATTGCAGGAGTGGTTCTCAAGCCGGGAGCTGGTAAGTCGGAATTTGCCAAATCATCCCATGCAATTGCTAATATTATTAAGCTATATGGGGACTTCCTGGTTACACATTCATGGGTATTCATAAAGAAGTGAGAAAACTTTTCGGCTCAAGCGTACTCAATTATATCATCGCAGCTAGAACAGCTCAAGGTTTCGAAGATGCTCAGAAATGTAGCAGAGAAGAACGTCTGGATATCATTCAGCGTTGGACGGAGCATAAACGGGAATACCAAAATGCCAAGCAGAAAATTCAAGATAAAGGTCCTGATGGTCAAGGCACTGGACACCTTTCACCAAAAGGCTTTTTACAGACACGACATCTCACTTTTGATGAAAGGAAGAAACTACACGAGGAGCGAAAAGCCAAGCGTGAAGAAGAAAGCAGGCAAGGAGGTCATGGTCTACGTTCACATTGCCCGATTGGACTTTGTCGAAGAACAACAGCTCATACTCACTCATCTGATGAGATTCGAGATTCTCCAGCCATTACTGTGAATCCACCAACCAGAAATACTAGTAGTGTTCAATCTGACTTTGAGGAGGCAATTCAAGCGTCAGTAGCCGCTACTTCACGTGGTAATATAGAAGAAGATCTTGTGATTGAGCGGGCTATAAGAGCTAGTGTTGCGGAACTACAAGGTGGTCAGAGAGCAGGGTTGAGCGATCAGGAGGTCATGGATCGTGCGATTAGAGCTAGTGTTGTGGCTAGTCAGGAGCAGGGTAGTAGGGGTGATAGAGAGGAGGATGATAGAGAACATGATGAGCAGCTTGCGAGGGCGATTCAGGAAAGTTTGAGGGGATATACGATTGATGGGGCGAGGGAGAGGGTTGGGGGTAGGGACGATAATAAAGGGGCGAGTAGAAGTGGAAGTGGAGGTGGATCTATAGAAATGAGAATTGAGGAGAGTGAAGATGATGAGGATTTAAAGAGGGTACTGAGGGAATCGAGAGAAGAGCATGAGAAATCTGTCGCTTCTAAAGGAAAAGAAACTGAGAAGAGTGGAGGAGCTGGTGGTATGACGGAAGAAGAAATCGTATTGGAATATATCAAGAGACAGAGTTTACAAGAGGAAGAACATAGGAAGGAACGAGAGGAAAAAGAGAGGAAAGAAGCCGAGAAAGCGGTGGAGGAGAAGAAGAAAAGAGAGGTAGAGAATAGTATAGCGGATGAGGAGGCGTTGAAGCAGGCTATTGAGGAAAGTTTGAGGGGGGCAGGTGGGTCTTCAGGATAAAGAAGGGGAGGGAGAGTATGGATGGGGATATTTAGGTTGGTTAAGAGTGAGATAGAGAGTTCACTTGATTGTATTTGGTGCTGGTAGATGGTCTATTGGTTATAGTCCATCTGTATACATTTAGACCATCATAAGAGTTGGGCAAGAAGAATCTCTTGGAAGTGCAGAATAGGTATGTCAAGATGATCTGTTTTATTGTGTCTCATACTACTCTACTGACAACCTTGTTCAAAGAAAGTTCTTCTCTTGTCTGATTTGTTTGCTCAAATAGTAATGGCCTAGTAGACTTCAAGACCTAGTCTGTAAAACATATAATGATGATCGAACAACGCCTTTATCCAAGTTGGATGAAGTGTGAATATCTCAACTGAAGATTAGACAAGACTCAAAATGTATTTCTTTCAGCTTTAGACTTTAGACAGTTCTCGAGACAGTATGAGATGATAGTCTTCCATTGGACTCTCGAAACGAGTTCCCACTAATATCAAATTAAAAGAATCATTGTTCCCTATGTAATTTCTCCAAACTCGCATAAACAAACATGTCTTTCTTCGAGCCAGCTCATCCTCGCAACCTAACCTCGTCGTCGTCTCAGATTTCACCACCCACAAAAAACCATGGCTTCAAAGAGCGCTCCATGCAAACCCCGCAAGAAGGCACCGCCTCTCTCCTTCTCGACCGCACATATCGGTACCTCTCGATCTCAAGCTTTGGCGGCCGTCTCGTTGACTTCGCCGTCCCAATTGGTTCTGGGTTATTCGGCCGGTCGGTTGATTCGCACGCCGACAGTTACTTCTTCTTGCGATATTGTAGATCGAATGTCGCCGAGGTCGCCTACGCCGCGTCCTAGGATTGCTTCGGAGATTGCTTCGACGATTGCTTCTACGATTGCATCGCCTCAGTCGCGGGCAAGAGTGAATCAGACTTATCGCGCTTTGGGAAATAAAGCTGATTTATCTCACTTTGCAAGTTCACATTCACATTCACATTCACCGTTTGCGAATACAAAAAGTTCATTTGGGGTTCTTCTAAAGAAGCAAACGGCGCATGCTGGGGAAATACCAGTTGCAAAGATGGCGACTTTAAATGTTGGTAACGGCAATGCGCTTGCTGCTAACTTGATGGGAGAAGCTTCGACTTTGCCAGCGACAAATATGGCTACTGTTGCTTCGATACCACAAGTAATCTCGAACTCGAATGCAAAAGATCTCGGCCGCGACAAAATTCTCAACCTTTCTCGCAACGAGGGTAATAAAGAGACACATCCAGCATCACCTGGCGAAACACCAGTAGCTCCCGCACAAGAGCCATTACTCACAACCAATTCCGAATTTCCCACCAACACCGATGCCAACAAACAGCAGTGGAAAGCCGCAGTCAAAGCGAACAATCCCCCTCGCAACCCCTTCAACTTAAGTATCCCACCCCAAGTCCATCGACGCACTGCGAGCCACTGTGATCAGGAAATCCCATCGAACAACACTCATAGCGGAATCGCGCTCTCAAATGCTTATACCCAAATGGTCGAAAGTGTCGAGAAAGCCAACGGAACTCAAGCGAATGCAAATATTCACCCACCTACCATGACGCCGTGTAGAAATCCCTTTTCTGGACCTTCGGGCGTGGCGGCCTTGGATGCGGCGCCGGATTTCGAAGGCAATTTTGCGGAGATGATGGCGACGTTGGAGAATGCGAAACCGGGAGATTTGATGTGTGGCGTGGGTGGGAGTGCTCTGCTTGCGCGGGCTTCCTCGGAGGCGGTGGGGCCGATAATGAGACGGGGTTTTGAGGGTGTGGTGAAGAAGGATGGGGTGGGGATGCAAGCGGTGGGTCATACTGCTGTGCAAGATAATATGGTGGGTGATGGAAGTCGAGATGGGCGAATGCTGGTGGAAGGGAAGGGTAATAGAATGGATGGTTCTGAGGTGGTTCAATTGAGATCGCCTTTTCAGACTTCGATGCAGATGCAACCTATGAATCATCCTACCGCACAAAAAACTACGATGAACGCTGGAAGTCAAGCTTGTAGGACATCGTCGGTAGTACAAGTCAAGACACCAGATCGTTCTTCGATATTCCAGATGAGATCGCCTTTTCAGACTTCGGTGCAACCTTTGACTCACTCTACGACTCAGCATCATACTACGAACAATGGGAATCTGTTCGATGGAACATCACTTCCAACAGGCCAACAGATTCGGACTGACCCTTTACTCCGATCTGACTTTCCAAATACTACGCAAATGCATCAATCTAGTGGCCAGGGAGATGAGATGAATAATGGTGGATATAATAGTGGTGTTCAAGATGATAATGCGTCATCTTCAGATATTATTGGGGATTTCGCTCGAGAATATGGTTCTGCGAATCACAATGCGTGGTTGACGGCGGATATGAATGAGTCTTCGATTCAAGAGAATCCAGCAGCAAGTATGATCGGAGCCTCGCCTTCAACTCACGCGAATAGAAGAGTGGATATGGATGGATCGTCAACTCAAGCACCTTTGCCTAATGTTGTTAGTCGTCCAATGGATGGAATTTTGCTTACTGGTAGCAATCATGGAAATCTGTCAAGTGTATCTGGTGGTTATAATATGAATTGTGCGCCAAATACCTCGAGTCAAGTAATGAGTGGTGCTCTTGCGTCTGGACTTCAGTCAGATACGTATACTTATCAACAATCCTCTCCTCAACAGGTTATACGTCAAAGAAGTGCTACTCCCGTACATGGACACACTCCTCATAACTCAATGGGATCGGGATTCGGTCATGTGGGCCCACAAGTACTAAACTCCCCCAATCGTCCTGTTCATTCGGCCCTCGACTTACGCAGATCCGCTACACCTACTCAGTCAGGTATCAATTATTCTAATGCAGGCTCACCAGCAGCAGTGAATGCAATCGCTAGATCGACAACACTGGCCGCTCCCGAAATTTCTTTCGATGATACCGCTCCAAACCCTTTGCATCCAGCCAGCTTTCATCTAGATACGCCTATTTTCTCAACTCGCAATGCTTTGCACCCGCCTAGTTTTCATCAACCTACGCCTCGTGCTCCATGGCCAACATCGCGTGTTCCGATCCCTCCCAACCCTGCCGTATCGGGCAATACACCGGGTTATTTCGAGCCGACTCCAATCTCCAATTCTCAGGAAAATGCGAATGCGAATGCGAATACAAATTTGATGAACTTGAATAGAGATATGCTTATGCAATTCAACCCTGCTTTTCAACAACATCAGTTTATGCTGAACCAAAAAAGTCAGAATAATCTACAATCGCCGCAACAACCTCATCATCCCATGGAGTTGGATCAATTCGAAGCCATGATGAATCAAGCCGCCATGGAGAACGAAGCAAATGAGCGTGGGGATCAAGAAAATATACAAGGATATACTCCACCCATCTCACCACCCGTTTCTATTCTGAGCAACTTGCTCCGTCAACGTGTCAGTCGATTTGAAAACTTTCAGCCTCTGACGCAGGATACCGTCGAAACATCACGTCTATGTCAAGTTGCGGCGGTGATTAATTCTTCGCTTCAGGCATATAATCTCAATAGCCCCATGCCTTTTGATGGAAAACCAGCTCCTCGACTTCCGAATTATCTCACTCCAGATCTTCGTTCAGAGAAGATCGTTGATTTAGATGATCGTCCATTAGCTCTAAACAAGTTAACGGTAGGAGAAAACTACGAATGTGATTTCTGTACCGGAACACCAAATCTCGGTGGAATCGATCGGTACAATCATAACTTCATCGAGATCTGGGGTCCAGCCGGTCGAGAATGGTGCGCTGAGTGCAAGAGAACCGGAAAACACATACTCGCTACCACTCTCCCCGAGAAGCACGACCACAACAAGAAAGGCAAGCGACCCGCCCAAGAACCCGCAGGAGGCGGTCCCGCGCCCAAAAAACCCGTTCGTTCATCATCTGTTTCTTCGGCTAAGACGACCCGCTCGGCGACTGCTGCGACAGCTAGTTATGATCGCTATGCGCCTTTGTTGGAAGAATCCAACGTCTTTGGCGATCCTCTTGAGATCCGCTCGCCAATCGATAATATGTTGATTAACCCCTTCATGCACAATCTCACCTGTCGCGGGGCCGCGTATCGACAGCTCGATCTGGACAAGACCAAAATCTGTCTCGCGTGTAAATTGAGGAAGGGGGAGGTTGTGAAGCATGGGTGTCATGCGGAGTTTACGCATATTGTGGCGGTGAATGTGGATGCGCAGGGACAGGTTGGAGAGGCTGGTTTGGGAGTGGGAACTGCGGAGGAGTGTTGGGGTGGGTTGAGATTCGATGTGGGAAGGGATTTGAGTGAGGGGAATATGACGCTTGAGGAGATTAATTCGATTGTTAATGTTGGGTTGAGTGCGGGTGGTGTGCAAGTAGGTAATGGGGGGATGAATGCTGGAGGTACAAATCCAAGTGTTATACAACCGCCCAGTGCTCAAACAAACAGCACGAACTCTCGCCGAAATTCTCTCGTCAACACACACACAGAACCCCGCCTGAGCAGCAACACAGATTTCGACCTGGACCCCGATCTGTACTGCGACATGAACTCCATCCTCAACAGCTCGATGGAATCCATGTTCGGCAACGACGATTTCTCCTGGGGCAAATCCGGCTGGCTCAGCAGCCACGTTACCTCGACCTCCAACTCCGCCGTGTTGCTTCCTACTCCCACCACTCCCTCTTCCATCGCCACGCCCTATCCCCGCGACGAAACGCACGATCACCACACCCACATGAACCGTCTCCCGCACCGACCCATCTCCAAATCCTGCATGATATGTCCGGCGCCCTCTATCTTTCTCTGCGACGGCTGTCCCTTGACGCTCTGCGAAAAATGCAGATATCGTCTGCGAGACGCACGGGGCTGGTTGAATAATCTGATCTATAGTAATGGGGTGAATCATAATCGGAACGATGCGTTTTTGCTCAGGAGTGATGATGGTGGGTATCATGATTATGGAATGTTTTGGCCCGTGCCGCCGCATGTGAATGGGAAGGGGGTGTTTGGAGATGGGGGATGTTGAGGTGGGTGTGGAGGGGGATGGTGGGGTGATGAGATCTTTTGGGGGGAGCAGTTGGGAGGGAATTGGATGGTGGGAATTTTTCCATTATTCAATCGAAGGGGACCTCTTCCATCGCCCCCCTTCTCGAAACTTCGCTTCCAATCCCTTTCATATCCTTAGATGCCCAACACAATCAGGACAATAATCTCCAACCCCAAAGCAAAAAACCTAAGAACCTCAACGCATTCCGCTTCTCCCTCCCTCTCCTTCCTACCCCCTTTCCAATACATCACTTCCTCGCTTCTTCGCTTTACCCATGACAAATCACTCACCACTTCTTTATTTATTTCAAATCCTGTACTTCTTATTATCTCTCTCTTACGAAACAACGAAATTACGTACGCACCTTGCGATGTGATTACGAAACTTCAATCGGAGAGGGGATTCCACAAACTGGATACGAATCACGATTCACGACGAATTCTTCCTTTCTTGCTTGTTTTCTTTGATACATATGGAAGGTCGCTTTTTGCAGACACATCAGTTTCAAAAAAAAAACACAAACCAGCGATCTGGAACTGGACTTAAGGAGAGTCAGAAAAATGAATATCAGGCATGACGTACATGAATGAACAGCTGAGAAGATATTCTTCGATATGAAATGGGAGGAGGACATGTACGATACATGAAGCTTTTTTTCTTCTTTTAACGATGTTTTGTTTCACTGCACTGCTCTGCTAAGTAACACCATTCGATATTTCGGATGGCTTCGTAGTTAGGCAAATAATGGATGAATAGATAAATAAATGAATGAATGAATTAACAAAATAAATAAAAATAAACCATCTCCCCTTGTATATCATAACTGTACAGACTTTTGTTTATCGCCAAGTCTCTGGGTATATGTACTTAAATTACAATTTCCTCTCATCCTCTGCAACCTCCCCCTTCCCCGTCTCAAACCACACACTCCCCCCCAAAGTCAAATTCCTACGAACAAATCGCAGCCGGAGTACCCGCCCTCAAATCCGGGAAAATTCCATACTCCACCAACTTTGCCGCATCCCACTCATGCGCACCCTCGGTCTTGAAGTTCCAGAAAATCCATCCATTCGCCTTCGTCTCATAACTCGCCAACTGCGCGCTCAAATAATTCTTCATATCCGTTTTGAACGCGTCGCTCCACTTCGTAATATCCGATTTGTCCTCGCAGGAACCGACATGTGAGGAACCGGGATATGTGCCGTCGTAGCGGGAGCCGACGCCGTAGCCGTTGAGCGCAAAGGCGCAATCGGTCATGGCGGCGGTGAATTCACCTACAACGACCCATTTGTCGGCGCCTGTGTAGGCGCCGGCGTTGCTGCAGACGTAGTTGATGTGTTCGTCGGCGGACATGGCGACGAGGGAGTCGCTGAAAACTTGGTATTCATGGTGGTCGACGACGACTGGGGGGTGTTAGTATTCTGTGTATGAGTGTGTGTAATTGAAAGGGAGATTAGACATACCTCCATAAGCACTGTTGTCATTTGAAGACAGGATGTTGTTCCAGTTACTTGGTGCCAAGAACGCATCATGGATTACCACAATACTATCGGAAACAGCGCGGACTTGTCCATATCCATCTCTGTAAAATTGTTCCAATACATCGAAATTGACATCCCAGTTTGCCGGTTCGTTGAGTAACTCAATACCAACTACTACATCTTGATACTCTTTCTGAGCATATTTTTCGGTAATAGTGTTTAGAACAGAAAGAGTTTTTGCAACCGAATCACCCTGTCCAAACGCCGGCGACGAAGTCTTGTGTCCAGAGTTATCGAATCCGTTTTGAGAAAGAGGAGCTCCGTGCAGGTCGATCCAAACTTTTAGACCGGCGCCACGAGCCCAGTCGATGGCGGCATCCATGTATGGGGCTGCACCTTGAGTATAAGGTTCATTTTCAGAGAGTTCGTATGCCCAGTATCCTATTGGGATGCGGACTGTGTTGAAGCCAGCGTTGGCTATGTTTTGAAAATCGTCGGCAGTACACCATGAATCCCACTGGTTTGACGTAAGAGGTGTGATCTGAGATCGTGAGCAGTGAAACTTACATGAGGTTTGAGGATCGCTAGAGCTGCATCTGTGCCGAGTTTCTGTGTCAATGTGTACCTGAACTACTTGTTAGGTGTCTCTGTCAAGTCATGAAATAAAGTGATACTTGATACTTGAATATCAAAGCAATAGAGAGAAGAAAGAGATGAACTTACTCATCGACTATTCCCAAGGATTGATCAACTGCTTGAAAGATCGACGCTGTTCGAATGTCAATATCATCTACCACAAATCAACATCAATCAGCAGTTACTCACGTGTAATCCATGGTTCAAGTACAAGCCAACCACCTATGTTAACTCCTCTAACGGGTGTTGACCCGTATGCAAAATCAACTCCTCTTTGGTAACTGCAATAATGTTAGTGAGAGGCGATAAAAGCTGAAGTGTGAAGGCTTACATTGGTTTCGAAGCTACCAAGGTAGCCGCGAGCAGGGTACCAACGGTATTTGTAAAGTACATTATGTATATGTATAAAGCAGAATGTTTATTTGATATTCATCAAGGGAACGTGAAGTGGATTTTCCTGAAACCGCGAAGGAAAGACGAAGATATATAAGTCTGGGAATAAGGGAAGGAAATGACTCTCCAATAGACTCTTCAATAGTATGTGGCCAACAAGAAATGATATTGAGATGAATCAGATGAACTTTTCGACTACCGCACCTGTCCACTCTCCCCGCAGATTAACACTTAATTGCCGTATTGGGGGTAGTGTTTAAAAGCTACCGAAGCTCATGACAAGTTTGCAGTTCAAAAGAAAACAGGAAGTGAAAATCCTATCCTTTTTCATTGAATCAAGGCAAATGAGAGAGTCGTGACCATATGGCCGATCATATAGACTTCGAGTCCCTGAGCCGTTTGTCATGTTGGCGAGGATAATAGCTCGGCCATTCGAAACAATGATGCTGGATAAATAGGTTACCCCGGTGTACTATGTTGTTTGTGGTGGCCAAGATCCATCATCTTGCATGAGGTTTTTGAAAGTTGTACAGTATATATGAGCCTGACCCGGATTCAAAGTCTCCGAGCAAGGAAGATTATGTTGTGGAGCTGGGGGATCTGCATTTCGCGTAGGGGTGTATGGGGCCGAGCGAGTGGTAAATGGTCAGGGGATCGGAGCAACGGACCAGTAATAATATACACCATAACATTTATTACTGACAAGGATAATGATTTGTTGTTGGTCAAGGCTGGTGGGAACTCATCGCCAAGGGCCCTGCAGCTGAGGTTTCGAGAAAAGAGTCAGGGGGAGCACGACACCAAAGGACTTTTTTAGTGATATCATGATTCATTAATACCGGTAGAGAGACTGACCAGTGACAACTGTACTGCAGCATCACTTACTCCTCGGTACAAAGCGAACCAGCCATTCTGATCATCACTGCCATGCCAACTCAAAGATGTATGATCTTACATAATTGCTAGCGGTGACTTTACCGTTGGCTGCACATGCCACATAAGTGCATGCATAACAATAGAGACTTTTTGCTTTGCTCTGGAACCGTCTCACCACGTATAGGACGACATTCCACTTTTCATTTTCCCCCGATGTTCACGTTTTGATCTAATCCAACTCGATTTCTAATTTTAAGAAATAAAAATTAAAAAAACAAAAAGTCTCAATCTCTATGAAAGACGACTACACTAGTGATCCAAAAGAGGTCAAGAAGGTGCGAAAGTGACACCCTCACGGGTGATCACTGATGAGAAAGTCAAAAGAAAAAGTCTATCTAATGCACAAAATACGCACGCTCGAGGCACGTTCTTGACAAACTTTCTGAAGCCGAGGGTCAAAGCTACCTACGTAAGGAATGATGTTGTCGTCGAAGCTCAAATTTATGGGGTTGGTATTATCACTAAAATATAAAGTGGCTTGCTTGCATGGTGGCTGAGCAGTATTTCGGTCGATTGAAAGGGGCTTCACAAAGACAACCGGCAGGTAACAAGGTTAATGAACGCAATGTAACCTATCCAGCAACTCTTTCTTTTTATCGATTTCTAATTTGAAAGATCGGGCTCCTGTTAAAGAGAGAATTGGGGTCAATTTGAGGCGTTGACATATAACAAAGAATATTGCTAATGGTGGGTGTGGTGGGGCCTCTTGATGGTGCGACAGGCCACTACCATTAAGCACCGGACGAACTTTAGTAGAAACGACGATTCCAGGAACTAGGCACCAGAAAAGTTTGGTTCTGGATTGTTCGACAAGTTAAAGAAATACGCCAAAAACCAATCAGCTCCCGGGACGCACCTTGAGATACGAGGAATAATTTAGGGTTATTGCCACCAGAATGAAATTAAGATCCCAGTCTTGGAACGTCTTTCCAATGCCTTTGTACCCGCTGTCCATCCTTGGATTTAATTGTTATTTTCACTTGGTCAGAAGATTTTCAATCCGATACAACAAAATGGGGGGCAAATGGGAGCCTTTTGGGCTGAGATACTGGGAGTTATGCGCTTCGCCACTTCGATATTTTCCCCAATACCCCCTCGCTAAACGATTGAGCATAACGATATTTTTTTTTAGATGAAAGCAAATTGTATTGGGTATTCCGTATGAAATTGTGAATGATCTGCTCGAATAACCTCACTTTGTTGTATTTTTCTCAACTACTCCTCTCGCGAACTCCCCAAAAGTAATACCCATCTCTGAGTCTACTATCTCGTCCAAATTTGGTTGAGTAAAGACGGCAATAGTATTTCTTGCAATTCTTCCTCCTTCGTTTTCACCATCTGCAATGCCTGGTCGTACACCTCTCACATAGTGAGGAACTGCCTTGAATTTACCTTTAGTAATTCTTTCGAGGGCCTCTCCCGTTTGGAAAGCGATACAGTCTTTGGGAATCTTAACTTGAACAGTCTCGCCACTTCGAGACTGAATGTAAAGCCCTGCAGTTGGATCCGGAGACGCAGGGAGCTCTTTAAGAGGGCTAAGGGTAGTTGGACGATATGAGTAGGATACTGGAATCACGGGTGGATTTCGAGTCTCGTTGATGAACATAGCCGATGTGAGTCCAGTTAAACAGCCATGGTCCAGATGTGTTGCACACCAATCATCGTCTAGGGCATCAGAAGAGTCCTTGGCTTCTGCTGGGAAGTAATGTAGCAATCTTGCTTTAGTTGTTGTTGAAGTTTTTACAACGTGCTCAAGGTACCCAGGTTTGTAGTCTGGAATTTCCTTCTCTGCATATCTATCACAAGCCCGGGCGACCAGAACTCCGGTGTCAATAATAATTCGACACAATCTCTCAAAGGTGTTCTTGAAACCAGGCAATACGTTTTCCCCAGGCCACAAATTTGGACTGAGATATTCGGGAAAGTTTTCAGGTGAAAAGTCAGGAGTAGGAATCGCACATGCTAAAGATGGGTCGACGTAAAAGGCACAATTCGCATAGTATGATCCTTTGAGTGTGTCCACTTGGCCATTTTTTAGAGTTTCTTTACCACGAGACCAGCCAGTAAGATATTTTGCAGCCGCGTTTTCGATTTTCTCTGCTGGACATCAGACCTTTTCCATTGCCTCAAAATGTAATTATGATACTGACCTAGTCTGGCTTCGGGCAAGTTTCCAAGATAAGACGAATATGAGAGTAGACTATGTCTTAACTCTACAAATGGCTCCGGAACATCTTTGACAAGAATAATACCTAAAGACTCGGGGCCAAAAGCCTCTTCTAATGTTGATAAAGAAACATTGCCTGTGACATCAAATTAGCTGAGGCAGGACAAATTTGCATCACGTTGAGACATACCACTTTGTAAATCTTTTAGACTTACTGTCACCGGGGAAGGCGCCATATTTATTAGGATAATCACAAACGTAGCTTTGAAATATTCAAAGTTTGGAAGAAAACTTGAAAGTGGATGGGCTTGAAGTTTTATTATCTAAGGCGCTGCCGTACAGTTAGAATAGGCAGGAGGGGAACTGTTATGATTACGTGCCGATAATTAACCGACCTCGGCAGCGCCCGATTATCGCGAACCTCCGTCATTTGCTTGTTTCCAAACACACGGGTAAGCAGCTCTTCATTTGTAAGTGAATACCAGATATCAACACAAGAACTATGGTCAAACCATTGTCCTTCAAAGGTGATAAGAAAACGAAGAAAAGAAAGCGCGTTGATACTGCTGAGAAGTTTGGAGATTCAGAAGCGTCAACCTCCCAAGCAATTGCGAAGCCCCAGGAAGAAGACGCCGCGCCAGATGATGATACCTGGGTGACGGCAGAAGCTGCAGCTGATGTAGTTGGGCCGGTTGTATTCGTTTTACCTTCAGATTCACCATCATGTATAGCCTGCGATACAAATGGAAAGGTATTTGCAAGTGCGCTGGAGAATATGATCGAGAACAATCCTACCACTGCCGAACCTCACGATGTAAGACAAGTATGGGTTGCCAACAAGGTAGCAGGTACGGAGACTTATAGTTTCAAGGGCCATCACGGAAAGTATGTATAGCAATTCCTCTGCTGTAAATTAGCAATGCTGATCAATCTTCAGGTATTTGAGTTGCGACAAATTCGGAATTCTATCAGCCAATACCGAAGCTGTGTCGCCCTTGGAATCTTTCTTGTCGATCCCAACAGCCGATACTCCAGGTACATTTCAGATACAAACACTGCGAGATACGTTCTTGACAATAAAGCCACTTGCATCCGCAAAGGAGAATGCTCTACCAGAGATCCGAGGAGATGCGGATTCAATCAATTTCAATACTACTTTACGAATTAGAATGCAAGCAAGATTCAAACCAAAGCTGAAGGCTTCCAAAGAAGAAAGAGCCAGTCAGAAAATAAGCAGGAAGGAATTAGAAGATGCAGTTGGCCGAAGACTGGATGATGATGAGGTACGGAAACTCAAGAGAGCAAGGAAAGAAGGCGATTACCATGAGGCATTACTTTTGATCAAGGTAAAGAACAACCACGATAAGTACAGCTGAGAAATTATCAACAAGCAGAGTTTGTAAATGAAGTCAATGGACAAATTTACGGAAGGAGATACAATAACTGACAACGGTCGATACTTTTGATTTGACCAACTAGAAAATAAGACTAAGATGCGCCACTGTAGCAAATCTACGATAAGATTTTGGAATTCGAGAAGCGGAACGAGGTAGCAATATGATAGTTGGGAAATCTCGACCATAATATCAAAACTCGATAGATCACGTGATAATAATAAATCAATATCAAATTTCTTCCCTTGGCTGTGAAAACATCGAATCGCATTTCGAAATTGTAGATTATAAAGACTGTTAGTTTTGGAACGAAAATTCCTGAGTATCCAAATTGAGTTCTATTCGCCGGCGAGGGCTGAATTTTTTTCCTCAAAAAGTTTCTCTCCCAAGCACAACTAAAAAAAGATTACATTGTTAAGTGCTTCACAATGTACAGATTCTTCGCCTCAGATATTTTCGAAGTCAAGGGTGCAGAGCCAATATATATCTATGATATTGTGCCAGTCGCAGCTGGACTTGCATCCATTTCATCGGACGATTGCTTGCGATTGCTAGATCCAACGGCTTTAAACGGACAACCACTGAATACTATTAAGAAAGTCAATTCTGATGTTACATGTCTGAAGACTATCGGAAATGGCGATAGTTCTATTGTCGTCACCGCTGGAAGAGATGGAAAAGTGTGTCTGATTGACCCAAGGACTGCTGGAAAGGTCGGAGAGGTTCAGAGTGGTGAGATCATTTCTCTTAAGGTTTCTTTTACGTGGCTGGGTGTAAGGAATGATCTTCTCGAGTGAGATGGTAGAATTTGACTTGGTACCTAATGGGGATCGTGAATGTTACGAACAGTTCTCTACACTATACGTACTTCGGGCAGCTTTATTGTTCGCAGAAGGCCAAATATTCATGGAAAATATTCTGACGATCAAATAGACCAAGGCGCTCCAATTCTGTCTTTAGCATGCTCAAATACAAACGGCATCGCTGCTGGAACAGAATTAACAAATCACCAAGCAACTGTTTCAATTTGGTAGGCATTTCCTGCTTTCACTACACAGAATGTTCATTAGACTAACAGAAGTAGGGACGCAAGATCTTTAGCTGCACCAATCGTACAGTACGTGGAAAGTCACAGTGACGATGTTACAGAAGTTTGTTACATTCACACCAAATTGTGAGTATATTTGCTGATTTTTCCTCCAGCTACAATTCCATCCGACTCAACAATCACTTCTATTATCTGGTTCAACGGATGGTCTTGTCAATATATATAATATCACCATCTCAGAGGAGGAAGAAGCCCTCCATCAGACAATCAACCATGGTCATTCAATACATCACGCCAACTTCCTGAGCGGTACCAATATCTTTGCTCTTTCACATGATGAGAAATTCTCCATGTACGAACTAGTAACAAACCCAGAAGAAGGGGTTGAAGAGCCGGCTCCAGTGGTATATGGTGATATGAGAGAAAACCTTGGAGGCGAGTATGTAGCAAACGTTCTGTGCAGACCAGATGGAGGAGCTGTTTTGGGGATCGGACGTCATAGCAAGAACGACTTCGATTTGATTCAATTGAAAAAGGGAAAGCCTTGGGTATTTGCTCCTGAGACCAAGGTTACACTTGATGGCGCTCATGGATCAGAGATTGTCAGATCGTTTTGCTTCCTTGATTCGGTATGTTCTCCTCTCATAGTCTTCAGACCGTGTGGTCTGTATACAAGCTGACAATTTCCGATTTGTAGCATAGGGCAGTATTGACTGCTGGTGAAGATGGACAAATCAAGTCATGGAGGGGTGAGAACTGATATCCGGAAATATAGCAACTGCAAGGCACCGGCATTCATAAGTTAAAAAAAGTAAAAACATATTTGTATATTGATCTTAATATTGTCATAAATGAATAATACGTGATATGTTTGTTCGGCATAATATTCCAACTGTTTGGTTGAAATTTGACACAATCTTTAATCGTGGTTTTCGAGCTTCTTCGGTCGGAGCTTCCTGGCGCGGATTGCCGAAGATGACAGCTTTGAGATAGCAACCTAGCATTACAAAGCCCCGCCAATTTATACAATTGACCTCTTCATCCTGATTATTGGTCATTATCATGGAATCATGACCGGATTTTCTTTTGCTACTTCAAACCCGAAGTGAACATTTATACACAGAGGTTCTGACAAGATGAAGAGCCCGAGACAGCGGTTTATACTGCCATTATTCATTCGTAAGGTTTCGAACAATTCACAGAGAGCTTGGGAAATACTGACTTTGTGCCGTCATAGTTTTATGTCACTTTCTTTTCCCAATATGTTATGCGCAGGTCCAGGAAGAAGAGCTAGCGACGTCTCTCACGGCAGAAGGGAGTCCAAAGCCATCTGTTCAAGCTCAGCCGTCTGCAGCTCAAGAATCACATCGAGCGCCACCAATAAGGAATACAGCTGGTGAGGACCAAGTTTATAAGACTCAAATTCTATGTTTGCTAACATAGTATAAGAGAATGAGTTAGTTGACAAAGCTTTACATTCCCTTCAACGTTATGAACGATCACATCCACGTTCCACATCCAATCCTTCCGGAATTGTCAAAACTTTGACGCAATACGTCGCTGCAAGCCTTCCCAAATTGACTCAGGGACCGCCACCGGATGGAAGGAGTCCGGCGCATAATCAAGCCCCAGGTCTAGTCGCAGAAGCAGTGCAACTTCTGGAACAAGCAGCTCATGTCAATAACTCCGATGCTATCTATCTCCTGGCACAAATCAACTTCTACGGAAATTACTCATATCCTAAAGACTATAGCGAGGCATTCAGGAGATATCATCAATTGGCGTCATTGGATGGAAACAGTTCGGCACAACACATGATTGGATTCATGTATGCAACGGGGATTGGAGGAGCTGTTGCGCAGGATCAAGCGAAATCTTTGCTATACCATACATTCGCCGCTGAAGGAGGAAGTACGAGATCTGCGATGACTCTTGCTTATCGACATCATAGTGGCATCGGTATGTCAAGAAATTGTGATTCGGGAATTAAATATTACAAAAAAGTGGCGGATAAAGCAATCGAATGGCATCGATCCGGGCCACCAGGAGGTATGGCATATGTTCAGGATTCTTATCAACTTGCAGATGACGATGGAGGAGTCTATGGTGAAGGAGCAAGTTTTAGTAGTGCCGGACACAATGCAAAGGGCGGAGGACCAAGTTCAGATGCTCACGCCGCACTGGATGATGTTCTAGAGTATCTCGATCTGATGTCTAGGAAAGGTGACTTTAAGGCCACTTTCAGCCTAGGACGCATTCATTACGATGGCCAAAAGGGACTTCCACGAAATTTGAAGAGTGCGAAATGGTATTTCACGAAGGTTGCCAAATTATATTGGACGAGAAATGGAAAGATTATCGAAAATGATAAACCACAATTGGACAAAATTGCTGCCAAATCCGCAGGATATCTAGGACGAATGTATCTTAGGGGGGAGAGTGTCGATCAGAGCTACGAAAAAGCCCAGACTTGGTTCGAACGCGGTATTAAAAATGGAGATGCTGGTTCTCAATATGGAATGGGTTTGATGTATCTTCATGGCCTAGGAGTACCCAAAAATTCCGTATTAGCACAGCAATACTTCAAAGCTTCTGCCGATCAAGATTACGCGCCTTCTCAAGTCAATCTAGGAGCTATGTATCTAGACCAAGGTACTGATAATGATATCAAAGTAGCCAATCGATATTTCGAACTCGCTGCACGATATGGTAATATTGAAGCTTATTACTACCTCGCCGAACTTATTGATCAAGGAGTTGGCCGGGAGCGAAGTTGTAGTTTGGCGACTGCATACTACAAGAATGTTGCGGAGAAAGCAGAACCACTTCTGACGTCCTTCGCCGAAGCAAACAATGCCTATGATCAAGGCGATCTTGAATTGGCTTTGATTGGTTATATGCATGCAGCTGAACAAGGATACGAAAAAGGGCAATCCAATGTTGCATATATCCTTGATGAACAAAAGTCGAAATTAACCATACCGACATGGCTAACTCTTGTATCCACCACTCGACCTAAATTATTACAGAATGCTGCACTTGCACTGCTTTATTGGACTAGAGCTTCTAAGCAAGCAAATACAGACGCTCTAGTTAAAATGGGTGATTATTATCTTAACGGTATCGGCACACCGGTAGATTTGGAGAAGGCTGCAGCTTGTTATACATCTGCATCTGAATTTCCTCAAAGTGCACAAGCGTTATACAATCTAGGCTGGATGCATGAAAATGGTGTTGGCCTTGATCAAGATTTCCATCTCGCAAAGAGATATTATGATCACGCTTTGGAGACGAATGAAGAGGCGTATCTACCCGTAACCCTCAGTTTGTTAAAACTACGCATCAGAAGTGCGTGGAATTCATTCACGCATGGCAAAATAAATTCTATCATTGACGAACCAAGTAAGTTATTCAAAACCTAAATGAAGGGAGCAGACTTTCTAACATATCAATAGCTCCCAAGAAACAATGGTCTCTAGCGGAATGGGTTAGCAATTTCCTGCAAGATGATCACCCATACTACGCGGATTACGACGCAGAAGATGCTTATGGTTCTGTCCATGACCCTATGCCTGGAGGTGACGCAGATGGACTTTATGATGACATCCTTGACGATGGCTTGGTAGAAAGTCTTATTATTATTGGCTTAGCAGCTGCACTAGTGTTTTTGATAGTATATAGACAACAGAGGCAGGAGGCGCATCGAAGAGGTGAAGCACCTGCAAATGCGCAACAACAACCAGCGAATGGAGAGGTTCAAAACGGAGGAATGTTTCCCCAACCAGGTGATGCGAATTTCAATGATTGGGTGGCGGGTGGTGTGGGACATTAAAAAATGGTGTAGGTGTTTGGATGGGGCTGTAATTAGGATTGTACTCATAAGGCATACGAATTAAACGAAAAATATGATTTCAAATTTTGAGATACCGTTGGAAGTCTATGGTTCGGCTTGTATCCTTTATTGCTAGGTTACTGTTAGCACTTGCTGCGATAGACTGACTTTTCAGATTGTCCGTTTTTCTCCCTCGAGCTCTAAACCTCCATCTTCATGTCTTAGTACCTAGGTATCTATTGTTAGATTTATCAAATTCTCTTTCCAATGCTTGCCAGCCCAGACCAACAAATTCAAAAAAAGACTACTCGCAAACATCAATCCACATTCCTCATTCACTTCATTTTACCCACCCGAGAATCTTATCTCATCTCCTCGCTGCCACATCTTCCACACCTCAACGATATGCACTCCTTCTTGGAAAGAAGATCAAGATATTAAAATAGCAGGACTTTGAGAACGAGATAATCTTCAACTCCAATGAATCAATATCTATCTCTGTGAATGTATATAAATTTGGTGTCACTATCTAATTGTTGACTATTCAACTATAGATGAAGAGGCGGAGAAGCATTCTCGGAATAAGTGTACTCTACCGGTACATTATGTGAGACGTGAGGGTGCTTTGAGGAGAGGAAGGATTTCGGGCTTGTATCGAAAGAGGTGGGATTTGGTGGGATGACTTGAAAGAGAGTCTTTGCTTTGGGGATGGGGTTGAGTTTGAGTTTGAGATTATTCAATGTCTGAGGCTGCGCTGTAAAGACTCTTTTGGGTTATATATGAAGTTTCCAAGCTTATTTTGGTCTGCATATCGTGAACATGCTCTCTATATTCGACTATGCGCTTCCCTTAATTCATGCACATCACTTCGTGGAACTTAATCCCTTTCCTTCAAGCTAACTATGGGATATTGCGCCTACATATTGTCATATATTTTCACCAGTTTCAAGTCATGATCCAATAGTCTCAAAGTCGAGAACATTGAAAACCAACCGGGCTGAGTGCTAGTCCGGGAATGATTTTCACATCTCTGGGTTTCTGTAGTAGAATGATGTATGGTGGACTTGCCTATACTGATTGTAGAGCGAGAATTTTGGATAGTTGGAAAGGAGTAGTGAAGTCGTTGAAGTTTAATTATATACCCCGTAGTTATTAGTGGGTAAGAGAGAGAGATTTGGTCACTTGTCAATATGTTGATTTAGTTGGTAGATTACAACGACAAATGATCGAGATTTAATCCCATCTGTCTTGAATGAAGCCATGACTTGTATTGCCGGCGTCTTCAGATTGCTTTTTGACGTAGGTTTACCAGAATGAGCGCGATGCCTGCGCTACGATACTTTTGTTTGCAGTCAGCTATGTCAAGATACCAGTTAAATAGTAAGTTCAGAAGCGTTTGCTCCTGAAAATTAGATATTCAATAGTGGCATGGTAAATTCCGTTCGATAAATACTATGTAGTATCTTTCAGTATAAGAAAGATTCGAGGGGCAGGTTGCGGAGGCCAACCTTAGCACGATAAAATCTAAACCGCCATTCGTACATAAAAACATTGTGTTATCGCCCGAAGCACGACGACAGCAACAGCTCTATTGGGGATTCAACCATCTATTTCACTCGATCCCACCGTCCATAATCAGTTTAACACCGTATACTGACCACAATCCAGAAACCTCACATGTCGTGGTGTCTCGAAGATTGAAATGTCTCGCCGTCACCCATCACCTACGGATATTCTCCCAGAAGGTATCGTGCCGCCAATCCTCAACAATAGAACGCCGACCATGTAAGCAATAACTATTTTCCCATGCGCCAACACCAATCTGAAATGCCCCGTCCCAATGCCCATATCCATACCCACACTCATTTCTCATATATTAAACACTTCCATCTCCCCATGCTGCCCCACGACTGGCTAATCCTGCAGTTCCCGCTTCAGGTGCTTCCCTCTTCAATTCTTCAACAACAACTCCCAAACTCTCAGCCTCTTCAACTAGCATCTGCCTTTCCTCTAACTGTATCCGTATATAATCCACAGTTTTCTTCAAAACTACACTTTCGCTTCTTCCTTGACCTTCCAGTCCAGGAACCAATTCTGCCAGTCGATCAAAGCCTTCGCGGATTGCTAGACGGCGTTTCTGTTCTGCGAACAAAAAAGTTCATTAGCTCTGGTACTCGAAATTGGCGAATCTAGCAATAGGCGGCCAAGAAGAAAGGACCACAGGATTACCTACCAGAAGCAATATGATTAGCCTTCTTCTCATGTTCCGATAACCGCGGTTTCTCATCGGCTGGATTGATACCATTCGCGGAGTTGGTATTAGCTGAGGATTCGCCCGTAGGAGATGCGGACATTTTGAAGCGAGTGAAATGCTTCTACTACAGCTTATGTATTGATAGCAATTATGTAGGTGTTATCAAAAGACAGTCTGAAGGCATCGTAGAGTTGCTCGTTGGGGTAATGAGGGGTGTCGTATGAAATTGTGGCTGTCACATGGGAAATTGAGAGGTTAATGTAAATATGGGAGCTTTGCTATTTTTGGATTAGTGCAGATCACTTAGCGCTAATCTGTTCGCAACAATTCCCCAGTTCTCATCTCGTCGCATGTAAATCTGCACAATACCACTCAAATCATCCTGAAAAGCAGCAATTTTCTTACAAGAACGTCTACGGGTGAATATCCTTAATACGCTAGTTTTCACGTCGAACAGTTTATTGGCGCCGATGTTGTTTTGGATCACAGCATACAGCAAGATTACCCTGTCGCTCCCCGTCATTGGACTCGTTTATTTTCACTGTCATCCCCGCAGGGCGAATCATGGAAATGATATCATGGCAAGGCTATCCACTACATTAGTATGGCAGTTTTCGGGCTGCATTTTCCTCAAAATAATAAGAAAAGACAGTATAAATTTCATTCAAGCGAATATGACTTTTGTCCCCTCTTTCCCCTCTTTCCTGATTTCTTAAATTCAAAATAAGCTTCATACGAGGAAGATAGGAGTTAGGCTGTCCATATAGCAGCTATATTCAACGTCAAGTCGTCAAGCTATGAACTAGCATATCAATCTCCTTCTGCATTTTCAAGCTCGATACACCAATGCCAAAACTCCTGCAAATCTTCATACAATGCTTGACGTGGGGGTAGTAGTGGCAGCTCATACGTTCTCCTCCATCACTATTGCTAGAAACTGTAGTTGTTGAGTAATAACAGATTGTCAAAATTTGTCTTATCAAACTCAACATACGATTTATTCCCATCAATTGGCGAGTGCATTCGGCCCAGAGAGGATGGATACGAAGAGGCTTCGAACGCCTGGTTCTTTCCATAAAAGAAACTTCTTCAATCTGATGCAATAAAGGCATTATACCCTCTTTTCGCAAACCGAGAATATCGAAGTCTGGAAATGCTTCTGTATTCTCAATGTTCGACAATGCGAAGAATTTCTTGAAATCAACAATGGATTTGTCTGTCTCAAGAAGACTGAGAACTTCCATCAATGACCAAGCGGGGCCCTGAGGATGGGATAGACGCTCCTTAGATACCATAAATGTTTCCATAATAGAGGGCATTTGTGGTTTGTATTGTAGAAATGTCATTCGTGCCTTATGGTCTGAACCAGAAAGCATGGAAACAAAATCCCGGCCAGCGAACGTGTAATCGTCAAGAGACTGAACCTGAATGATATATTTCATGGCTATACAGGCAGCAAGTGGATGCCCATGGACTGATTTAGCAATAGAGAGTAAGACATCAGAATCATTTACGTCGAGAGAGTCTTCTGTGTCTTCATCTTCCAATGATCGGACCTTTTCCAAGATAGTCACAATATCATCAACCTCCATGTTGTTTAACTTGATAATCTTGCAGTCATCTCTTAAACGGATGTTAGGATTCCTTGTTGTCAACAAGATGTTCTTTGCTTGGTCAGGGACGTCAGCGAAAGGATTTCGACCAAATTCTTTCATCCCGTCAATATCATCAAGGATGAGCAGGGCACTTTGATTATCTTCGTCACCCAACCATTTTTTGAATCTTTCAATCTTTTCATCGGAAGTGTTGTTCCTCCAAATGTTATAAAGATCTCGGCCTTGGTAGTCTTTAAGCAAATGTTCGTGGCCTATTTGCATTGCAAGATCAAGATATGCCTTTCTCAATGAATCTCCATCGGTGGCGTGCACGAAAAATATATTTCGTTGGTCTTTATTTTTACGAGCGATTTCTAGTACAGCTGTCGTCTTCCTAAATTAATTTTCAGTTTGACTGTTGGTTCAAAATGAAGGCTAAAGCTTACCCGATGCCCCCTATGCCTGCCATTACAAGAGATGAGTAATCATTCCTGTCTAGTGTCTCAACAGAATCGGCAAGATTATTCATATCAACTTACCGACCTTGCGTTTTTGGGATTTTCCTCAAGCCTTTACCTTCGAAAAACTTTTTACCGGCGGGTAGAAATGAGTTAGATGCAACGGGTGGGGAATCCCACGGTTTCTTGATCAATATTGTCAGCTTTGAAAGTAATGTAAATATCAATTCAAGAGCTTAGGGCTTTATACATCGATTTTAACTGCAAGGACATCAGACTTTCCATCCAAAATGTTTTTTAGGTGCCTCAGCTTATCCGCCACTTGTTCAAATCCTCCAAATTTTGACTCAAATTTGCATATTGTGTTGTGATCAACATCTGGCATTCCCTTCGCTGTACAGTTTGACAAGCTGGCAGACTGCTGTATAACAATCTTTGCTAAACTTAGATTGGATCCGTATGAACGGACTTTGACGCAATTACCTGTCGGTGAATAATCCTGGCAACAGAAGTCACCCGAGTCTCGAAAAACGCGTCAAATGGGGGTATGATGTTCATGTTCATGAATTCTCTCTGACTCTCAGTTGACATGGGGTCGAAACTCCCAAGTGTCTTCACGATTTCTTTTCGTACACCCATAGTTAGTTGAGCGATGTCAGTCAAGAAGTCACTCCAGTCAGCTTCGAGTGAGCCAGAACGAGGGGTGCTCAAGAACAGTAGGGCACATTTTGCAGGACTGATTCCATTATATTCCGATTGGCTTCCGTATTTGTCTAACTCTATCATTGCCTAGGTGACTGGTGCTTAGCAGCTGCAGTTGTGGCGGCAGATGAGGCGGCACTTACCTGACGAGCAACAAGACCTCCCATCGAATGACACACAAACAAAATAGGACGCTCTCGTTCCTACGGAGCATCAGACACAAAGAAATGTCGCCAAAGGATTTGGAAATAGAAAGAGGACTCACTTTCTTGGGTTTTCTAAGGCTGCTGACGCTTCGAAGGAGATCTTGTGACCAGACAGTGATTCCAGAAAGATTACCTCTATCGCGTAAACGAGAGCTGTATCCAAATGTCATGATGCGAGCTTTGTCAAAAGGTTTCGACAGTGGCAGTATATCGCGTAGCCACATCTTTTGGTTTTTGGTGGCTACCCAACTCTCAAATGCATTTCCGTTCAGACCATGGACAGCGCATGCACTATAGCAAACATTGAATCAGCGTCATTTTCAAAGATTTAGAATCTCAAAGTGTGTCAAGTCTTCGAATGTAGCCCAATGTCGCCAAAAGATCCAGCAGGTCAAGTGGAGTTAGTCCAGAATTCTGCGAAGCCTAAGAAGAATGGCATCACTGACTCCACCTCTGGGTCGTCCGATGAATACAGAGTTGTAATGCCATTGAAATTGTCATCATATTCCCATTCTGTGTTGTGGTACTTTAAAGCTTCCTCTTTGTGCTTCGGCGAAGGTAAGGTGATTGTCCCCACTTGATCCTCTCGTTCAATCGCAAGAGATATCTGTAACCGGAAAGTTGATCAGCAACTTTTGTTCTGCCGTGCAAGATCCCAGACTGCAGTCCAAAACCCGAAAGCTCATAACATCTTGAAACTGTACATCTTTCATTGAGGCAAAATACCCAAAATCGAAATATGATGCTAGACCCCATCCAAAATTCTTAACGTATCTTCAGAGAACTGGAGTTCGTGAAACAAAAAATATCAAGTGTATCAACTAACTTTAGAACTACCAAGATTGACTGGTTGAGGCCATGGCCGGCGCAGGTCGCGTGAACAATACTCTGCTTCCTCCATAAACTCTTCCTGATTTGAATCCAGAGGTATTCCCTTGACCCGTACGCTTTTCGACGTCGTCCTAAACATTTTTGTTTAATCTTGTGTAATTTGTGTTTATCAATGATAAAAGAGAAAGGCTATTTTGAAGTGTGATATCAGCTCATCTTGGATGGCTGCCTATCGCGTCACCTTTTCAACGAATCAAGTCCATACATAGTACACGGGCAGGGCTATCGCAATGCAACGTACCCCGCAGTTTAGTCGTTACACCGAAATTCATTCTATATAAGCCCCGAACTCTTTTTTTAATCAGCCTCAAATACAAGCAAATTATGTATCATCTGGAAAACAGCTATCTTATCAACCTCTTGTCTACGTTCTCAGACATTTTCAATGCTAAAAGCAACATTCTAGTCATCAGATCCAGTCTTGAGTATTGGTGAATCTAGCCATCTATATGCCTTGTAAATTTTTGTCTCGATAACCGATAATTTTGTACATTGGCGGAAGCAACCAACAATCACTCTTTGATAAGCATGGGGCGTCGACACGAGTTTGGGTTCCCGTCCAGAATAGTCTCTCGACGCAGGTTTCAATTCCTGGCCTTCTTCAAATGCCATGAGTTACCACGGATACTCTTCGAACGTATCTGCCAGCCTTCCAAGGTCTGGAATGATGAAGGCGAAATCGTCGAGTGCTCTGAGACGATTATTGGACTCGATTCAGATCTAGAGAATATATTTCAAGAGGCCAAGGATAACCAGATATCTAGCTATCTTAGCTAAATTCCTTATACGTCTATCGAAACTGATGGGGGACAGTACTCCAGCAACAATCGACCCCTTGATATCAAGTTGCCTTGAGTACCTCAAAGAATGGCCTGGGGTCAAATCATTATACCTAGCTCGCGCAATCAGTCATGAGCAGATTGAAAGTCTTGACCATTATGACATAAAATATTTGAATGGAGTTATAGGCCTTGGGTTAGCATCGATTCTTACAAGTGAAGAGTCCTCACACCGTTACAAATACAATCGTCAAAATGACTGGCACCCCCTTGAAATATCTTGTACACATTCTACTATTGAATTATTGGCTCATGTAGAGTTATATGGAGCGATATCACTAGCTGAACTATCAGGAGCTGTGTATAAGGATCTTCCTTTGACGACCAGAGTTTTGATTGCGTTTGGCGAGGTCAAGCTTGAATCATATGACAACGCGCGAGATATGCTCGGACCTATCCTTGATGAAGTCAAAGGAATCTATGGCTCGCAGTATATGGAAGTCTTTCTTATTAGTGCAACACTTGTAAATTGTTTAAATAGATGCCGAATGGAAGCTTTAGCCGAGGAGTTAATCAATTCAATCTTTGGAAAGGCAGTAGGCCAGCTGGAAATGCCGACCAAAACTCAAGAGTTCATTTTTGGGCTCTCGGCCATACCCAATCATTATACCAATAGCGAGTTGTCTATGATTGTTGCATTCACTGATTCTCTTATCGGCCAAGGCAAACATGACGACGCCTTGTCTCTTTTTCATGCTATTTTGAAGAAGGGACGACCAGGCCGTGAGAGCATTACAATGAGCGTAGCTCTAAGGATAACAAAAATAAATCGCAGACTAAACATCAAATTCTCAACTGTAGGTATTTGATCTTGTTTCTAATTTAAATGGCGACACACTTTGAGGTTCAACTTTCTACTTTAGTATTTCCCCTCAAAAAAATGACTTGGAACATGCTGACTTGCAATACCAGGATGACGTCCAGAGTTTTGATCACAGTAATGCTTTGGAAGTGCTCAGGGATGTATCAGAGTTCTATCCCAGAGTTTCAAGCATACTAAAATATGCCTTTGTAGAAGAATTTATTTGCCATCTGTCCCTTCTGGAAGATATAGATACCCGACAGAGATTCGTGGCATCGGAGATTATCAAAGTGTTGAATCTAGAATCGATACCCTACAAAGGTTCTGAGAGTTCGAGAATAAGCTTTGTCGAAAATTTGCAAACCATAAATCAATACGCAGAGCAGCTCAAACTCCTGATGGCTGACGGGGCGCCGGAAATTCTCGCTAGCAACATGGCACAGCGCTTTCCTACCGCTTCTGTAGATCTTATTAAGAAGATAAGTCGAGCAAGTTGGCAGAGATTCAATAGAATTCAAGAAATGCGTGTCATGCCGGACGTTGATGATATACCTGATGCAAAGGAATCGTTGAATTATCGAGATTCTGGACTTGGAAGCTCAACAAAAACCACATCCAATATTCTAGAGTCATCTAATAATTCGGTCGTCTCATATAGATCATTTATCAATAACGATGCAAAATCGACTACTCTACCTCAAATGCCTGAGACGGTCAAGTCTGAAGGGCAATTTCTCTGCTTTGTATGCGAAAAGACAATAAGAGGGATAACTGGCGAAGCACAATATAGGTAAGCTGCAGCCTTCTCCAAGCATGCCGCAAAACATTATGTCAGAAGCTCACGTTCATTTCAGTCAAAACATGTGGACATATATGCTGACCTTACATATAGACGTCATATTTGGGCTGATCTTAGGCCATACGTATGCCCTGTCAAAGGCTGTGATGCTGACGCGAATCAGTTTCTATCAAGAAATGATTTCGGCGTGCATCTCAAAGAGTATCATGCCACAAGGTCGCTGGGAAACAAGTCCACTGAGCATATATCCACTCTTCGTTGTCCATTCTGCGATGAGCTGCCTGGTGAAGTAGCTCTTATTGGTCATATTTGTCATCATTTAGAAGAACTATCATGTTCGGTCATTTCACAAGAAACCGGAGAGGAGCTTGAAAAGAACGACCTCGATATGACGCTCAGTGACTATGGAACTGTTCAAGAACCAGTCCAATTAGACTCGTATCCAAAATCTTCCCAACCACATGAAGCTCGACGAAGTAATGAGGATACTAGAGACTCATTATTAATGCCGTTTGCAAATGCTTGGATAGACACTCAACCGATAACCCATGATACCGAACTGGATGATAACAATGATAAATTGACACTAGAAGCATCGACCAAAATTACCGATTCGCTTATTGATTCACTTGCTTCCAGGGATATAGAGGGGCATGAGGCTTCGTATGGTTATCATCAACAAGCTTCTGCAGATTCCATTCAGGCTGACCACTATCAAACCCATCAAAACCATTCTCAGTTAACAACAATGGATGACATCTCACCGGAGAATTACCCCCAGCCTGTAATTTTCCCTCATCAACCCAGCCAAAACCCATTCACCAACAGACACCATACAGAAAGCTACAGCCCAACTTCCTACCAAGCTCAAGAACTAAGTGATTCAAATCTCCCCAAACGTCGAGGAAATCTCCCAAAGCCTATCACCGATATCTTGTCAATCTGGCTTATTAATCACCTTGAACATCCCTACCCAGATGAAGAAGAAAAGCAGTTATAAATGAGAGAAACAGGTTTAAAATCGAGTAAGCTTGTTTTCGTCTTTTACTCTTTCTTCTATATATCACTAATAAACTTCCCAGATCAAATTTCCAATTGGTTTATTAATGCCCGTCGTCGTAAAGTGCCTGCACTTCAAAACAGTGCTGCTGGTATCAGCTTGGTTAATAAGTATAAAGGACTTTAGTTTACTATATTTGTAATTGTTTTTGATTATTAATATCTATAGGAAGCTAGTTATTTAATATAGAAAGGCACTACCGCCTCACTAGCTAATACCGTGCCCTCTATGATGATTTGATCGCTATCCCGACAAATACTTATACAGAAACACTACCTGATTATGTTATAATCGAATACACTCTACAAATGGAGGATAAAGTACCATAAATCTTTACAACATCAACTCAGCCAGAGCCGCATCTACATTCAACAAAGAATAGCCTTCACACTGTGACGATAATAGGTTTAAAGCATTGCAGTAAAGAATCCATTATCGGAACTAAAAAATAACAGACTGTTATAGAAAGTTTTTATAAAGCTTTTGAACCCAAAAGAAAAACTAATCATGAGCAACAAAGTTTTTGAGGAAAACGGTGTTTAGCAGGTTTACTATTAAAGAGTTCGCGAAAGGAGCCACGTCTGCGTAATCTGCTATACGACATTTGATACAAAAGCAGAAGTCAGATGACACAGATTAGCCATATACAAAGCTGGAGGGAATCAGCATACTTGACTGGTGCCCAGATGCCCAAGCCATACGAAAGAATTCAACAGAAAGAACAGATTGAAAGACCATATGGGAAGATGGCATGGCTCTTACCATCGTTCGATCCCAGGTTATCCTCGAGGGCCAGATCATGGATTCAAGAAGCAAGCTTTGCTGGATGGTCATCTTATAAAAGCACACGGAACGAACACAACGAATAGCGAATCAAAATATCGGGGTTGCAGCTGTTCGCGAAGTAGAACAATTTAAACCGCACAAAAAAAATCGGAATGCATCATGAGGACACAGGGGTTCTACGTACAAGCTCAATATAGCAAATCGCAGAGGTTAAGCGCGATTCAACTCGCCAGCACTATATAGAATCCGTTATTACAATCACACTTTGAATGCATAATAATCAAGTACCTGTCGCTACAGTCAATGTGTCCAACTATTTTCTTAAGATGTACATTTTTGAAGTTATGCGATCCTGTTATACGAACGTTTCTTCATCAAAAATCTCTTGGAACTACCTACTTAGCGCAACTTCCACTCTGAGTAATTTCTATCACTATCTAGGAGGCCACAATACTCGGCTATTTCCCAAGCATTTGGAGATAACACTGAAAGTAATATTCAAGGTGAATCTTGTTGCAACACATAAGTGAATATGAGCACGTGGTCATGCACTAGCAAATTTCGCACGTATAAAGCTCTCGCGACCCTAAGCTTCCAAGAAGCATGAACGCTCAACTACACAATCGAGATCCTACTTTCGATCCCCAAATCCACATCACCAGCGAGGTAAGATCAACAAACATGAATCCCAACCATGGCGAAGATCTGCCTTTGGATCTAAAGTCATTATCTATCATCATACATTACGATGCATCATGTCCGACTAACCTTCGACAAACTGCACATGCAGCTCAACAAAATACAACTATGCTAGGAAACAGCAACGATTCTCCTACCGAGAGTGTGCAACATCAGGAACAAGGACCAAATGCACAGAATGAAGCGGACTGCTCGATCAGTTCTTCGGAAGACGAGTCGATTATCGACAATACGTTCCAGAACCATAAACAAAAAGCGCAGCTCTATAAACACAGAGAGTTGATGGAATTCGCAAAGGAAAAATTACTTGCGCAAGCTCAAACGGAAACCGCAGCTCTACACCGAAGAAGCAAAGATACAACTACAGAACAGACTGAGAAATTTCAACAGATGATCCAGGAATACATTAATCATAATCCGCTTCAGACGCAGCAACAAGCAGTCAGTGTGTACAAGCACCTCGTCGCTGTAGAGTTGAGGAAAGGCATGTATCCCGGTGGATTGCCGGAACACAGGCGCAGAAGAGATTACAGATGCGAGCTCAGGCATGCGTGATCCAAAATATCAAGAATAAGATTCAACAACAAAGTATGGAGTTTCGCCCCCTGAGTAGTCTACAGTCTCTGCACATGTATATTCGATTCGATACTTCGACTTGTCAAACTTTTCTCATTTTGTATCGCTGCTCGTGAGCGTGGCATTAGTTACGGCGTATAACAATTCGAAATACGGAATACGGAATACGAGAGCGACTGGCATCAACAAACGACTAAACGTTGGACAGGATAGTTTGCAGGGGAGCTGCGGTATTTCTAGTCGATGACATCATATCCATCTGGAGTAGGGGTAGCTTGTGCCATAGCCGATGTCGTCGAAGAGAGTTTGAGACAGGTTGCATAGCCACTAACTATACAATACTCTAACAATATGAATTAAGCAATCTCTCGGCAAGAGTACTAAATGTCTCATCAACAGGTTAGGTTGTCTTTGACTTGGACTTATATATACATATAGTCCAGTCAATACATAGGATATTTCAACATCAAAATACCGAGCATAATACCTACCTACATACATACTCAAACATCCACTAAACTATTCTCCCAAATCACAAATGAAACTGAGTGAAAAGTGACGAATACCTAGGTCATTCATAATGACCACCATAATATCGTCAGGATAAAAGAACAGACTTTGTAAAAAGTTAGTGTCTTTGTGATATGTACGATGTGATGTGATGATCTTCTAAAGTCACAACCCTGCTCGCAAGTCCCCACCTAAAAACCCCTGTCCCATCCCATCCCATCTCATCCACAAACCACAAGGCTGACGAAACGAAACCCTCCATATACAAAACCCGCAATTCCATCTATCCATTCAATTCACCCCTATAAAACCAAATCAACCCAAATCAACCCAAATCGAATCGAATCAAATCAAACCAGACCATATCCAATCGACCCAACCCAAATCACCCAGCAAATCAACCCTCCAAACTTCCACCTCCATCCAACCTCTCACCCTCATCTCACCCCCTCCCACCCCAACCATGCCCACTGAAAAACCACACTACACCCCCCTCTCTACCTCGGCGCCCAAATCCCCTCCGCCAACCTACGAATCGGCCTCTTCCCAACACGGTGCGCTGCCCACGCGTCCCGCATCGCAATCCATTTCCACCGGCAAGGGGCCCGTACCCCGCGGTCCCTTTCCGCTCGATATCCCCTTGCTGCAGGAGTTGAAGGGAAAACGCATTATTCTCGCCTCGGCGAGTCCGCGTCGGAAACAGATTTTGGCTACGGTTTGTTTGTTTAATTTCCTCATGATGTTTTTTAATCCCGTGTGTGTGTGTGTGTGTGTGAGAGAGAGAGAGAGAGAGAGAGAGAGAAATAGATAGCAATATAATATATCATAACATAACATTACTAACCTCCCCCCCCTCTCCCCAGATCGGCCTCACAAACCTCGAAATCATCCCATCCCCCCTCCCAGAGAACCTCTCCAAAGAACACCTCGGCCCCTTCGACTACGTGCTACAGACGGCCATCCAAAAAGCCCTCTCAGTATACACCCACTGCCTGGACAACTCGCTCGCCAGCATCCCAGACCCCTCGCTGATCATCGCCGCCGACACCGTCATCGTCACCAACTCGGGGGCTATCCTCGAGAAACCGCGGTCGCAGGCCGAACACATCCGCATGCTGCAGCGGCTGCGCGACGACCGCTCGCACAAGGTATTTACAGCCATTGCCGTTGTGGCCCCGCGCGACGACGCGCGCTATCCGGGCTACAACTGCGAGAACGAGGTGGTGGAGACGAAAGTCGTGTTTGATGCGGATATTGGGGATGAGTTGATCGAGGCCTATGTGAAGACGCGGGAGGGCGTGGATAAAGCCGGCGGCTATGCGATCCAGGGCATGGGCGCGATGTTGGTGGAGCGCATCGAGGGCAGCTGGGATAATGTCGTGGGATTACCCATTCGCAATACGGTGGCGTTGATGGAGAAGGCGGTGTTTGATCAGGAGGATTTGGATCCCGAGGAGAATGAGGAAGGGATTGAGTAGAGGGGTTGGAGATGAAGATGCAGATGCAGAGTACATATGTAATGAGAGATTGAAAAAAGAGGACGTTTATAAATAACACGCACAGCACATGCACATGCATATACTTCACCTCTTCAAACGTACAGGCCAAAATTCGGGGTTCAAAGGGTTACATATATATATATATTACGAGGTAGGTCGTGTAAATAGCGCAGCAAAAGCTTATAGAAAGGCATTCTCTGATATTAAAATACAAATACAAGACACAATCCAATCCAATCCAGCCCAGCCCAACACCTAATAATCACCCAACCCTATTTTTGCGAGACGGCCCCCAAAACCACCCCCACCCCCCTTTCCACCGATCCAATCTCCAAGCGAAAGAATTCCCAGTGGCAACGATTCCCACCATCCATTTCGGCGTTTACACATCTGCAAGATACAAGACAACATAAACCCAACCAATAACCTTCCATCTCTAAATTGAATTACTTATTACCCATTCTATACTCACTTACATTTAAACATCTAAAATTACTCAAAGTATCATCATCCCCAAAGTTATAAGTAGAAAAGCATCGTAATAGCATTGAAACTGGAACACTTTTCAAAATATCTAACTAACTAAGTCCTTCTCAATGAAATTTATCGTTTTCGCATGTTCCATTCGTTTGCTTGACTGAACGATTTCAATAGCATCATATCATATCATCATCGCTCATTCTCTCATTCTTCATATCCCATCACGTCATCATACCACTAAAGCTCTAGAAACCTGGAAACCTAGAAACCCCATCCACGTTCCTCTCTCCTCTCCTCACGGTATTCATCTTCTCTCTCCTCCTCTCTCTCCCTCTCTCCCCAACCACCTTCATTTCCATGATCTCCTCCACCGAATCCCATACCACCAAATCTCTCCGCCAATCCTCCAACTGACTCACCAAATTCTCCACCACCATATTCGTGTCTTGGTGGCTCCTCAAATCTTTCACGTTCACCACCCCAACCACCATGTTCTTCTCTTTGTTGACCATATCCACCATAATCCTGACGAGGCTCCTCAAACCTCTCTCTGCGCTCCTCTCTCTCTGGAACATACTCTTGTGGTCTATCCCTATCTTCGTTGCTGTCATTACTTCCACGACGACTGTGATGACTGTGATGACTGTGATGACTGTGATGCCTGTGATGCTTTCTGTGGCTCCTGTTACTATCACCACTGTCACTACCAGATCTCTCTTCTCTGTGATGTTGCGCTTCATGATAGTGACGTCCATCAGCTGTTTCACCCTCGCGCCATGTTTCGGTCTCGACTCTACCATCAGAACGTTCGTAGATGCGTTCGTTGGTTTCTTCGTAACCTCCACCATATTGAGGTCTTTGCTCGGTAATTTGTTCAAAGCCAGCTCCGTGGCCTCCTTGCTGACCATATTGTTGATATTCTGTTCGTCTGCCACCATCTGCGAATTGTTCTTGTGTATACTCGGCTTGAGCATAGCGATTGCCAGAGTGACCTACTTCAGTGTAGCTCTGCTGGTAGTTACCTTGAGAGTTGTAACCTTCAGAAGAGTATGATTCTTTTTTCCCCCCACCACCTAGAACTCCAGCTAAAAGGCTTCCACCAACACCTCCAGCGAGAGCACCAACAATACCGCCAAAAGCACCACCACCAACTGCTTCTCCAGCAAACTTGCCGATTCCTTCAGATGCTTGTCCACCAAATCCTGATGATCCACCATTACCACCCATTGAGGAAGCCAGTCCACCCATGATTTCATTTGCCATTGGATTTGACGAAGACATCATAGGACCTTGCTTGGACATTTTTAGTGGTGCACCACATCCATGACCAGTATCGTGAACACCTTCAAGGTGATTTTCTCCGTTTTCAACTCCATCTCTGCTCAACTTTCTGCGGTATTCCTCTTGCTCGTCACCGTCCTTGTTGCGCCACCATTCCTCTACAACTCTGAACATAAGTTGACGACCATCAGATGCTCCATCGTCACCATAGCTGCGAAGAGCGGGATGATGGAAAACACCGTTGACGATACGATCAATTGTACGATCGGGATCAATGCGTTCGTCATCCCAACAAGAAATGAGTTGAGGGACAACCCATTTGAGAACTTGAGAAGCGATTCTACCAGCGCATTCGTTGAGGATCTAAAAAGTTTGTTAGTATCAATGATGGTTGTAGAATTGTTATTATATGCTTTCGGAAAGTTCGATGCCAAAGGCATCATACGACCCAAGGAAAGACGGCCGTGCAGATAACGATTGTGGTGAGAGGATGGTGCTTACGTTAGAGAAATGATCCTTAGACAACATAGAATGTGTAGGATCGGTAGAATGGTCATCATGGAAAACAATCAATTGCTTGTCCTTACTGCTTTGGATGACCTCGGAGGAACCTGTATTCAACTCGGTCTTAATTTGGCTAATGATGGGAAGAACGAACGGAGCAAGGAGAGAGAAGACAAAAATGTTGATTTGTTCCTCAATGTTCTCGATGAGATCTGGGAGGATAGGAATCTTTTCGATAGCTTCACGAATTGATTGCATGGTCTCGTCGTGCCATTGGATGATTGGATATATTTCCTTGGCGACTTGTTGCATTTGAATTGTAAAAGCTTCTGGATCTTTTGGAGAGACTTCCTCTTGAGCTTGTTGGGCAGCAGCAGCATTGGCTTGAAGTTCATCTGCCTTGCTAGCTTCATCTTTACCACCAAAGAGTCCGGAAGGAACTGAACTCAATAGGTCCTTCAGGACACTAGTATTACCTTCACTACCTTCTTGCATAGTTCCTTCAAGGGCTTGGATCTCGCTTTGAGTTGCTTTATCGTCGAATTCACCCATGACAGAGTGAAGGAAGTCAACACCACCAAAGGTACCCGTAATGAGTGGGTAAACTTCATGTTCCGCGCCTGGAAGCTCGATTCGAGTTCTTCTTCCAACATGTGGGAAAACATCACGTTCACCCATCTCAATCAGAGCAAGTTCGGTGTAATTGCTGTGAGCAGAAAAGTCCTCCAGACAGTGTAGTCCAGTACCCATCAATCGAAGTGCCTCATATAAGTCGTCCTTGTTCTGGTTTCTTCCATAGGATCTACCAAGTCGGATAGATTCACGGAAAAGTTTTCGGACATGTTCAGCAGATGACATGATTCCAACGTGTTCATTTGCAATATAGTTCTTCATGCCGGTCCGGGGATCGATAGCGAGCTCAACCTCTTCATCGACTGGACCTCGAAGTCTAGGATCATATTCTGAAGCATCAAGGTTATCGGCATAATCTTTTGGGTTATCAATGTGATCTTCTGGTCGATAACAACCCAATCTTTGAGCTGTAACTTCGAATTCTCTTGTGCCGTATCCGAATGTCATAAATCCAAGAACCCAGAGTAGAATGCGAATAGCTTCAGCGGAAACATATTTGACGGTACCAACATCGATTGCTTGAGCTGGAGGAGGAGAGAAGATTAGTTTCCGATAATAGTGAGATTGAGGGGTGGGTGAGGGGTGAGTTATTTTAAGATATGATGAAATTATACTTACAGTAATCTCTCAGCCAGTTACCAAAGTAAACTCTTGCTACCATCATTTTATCAAACTTCTTTCCACCACAAGCTCTTGACATAACAAGTGTAAGGAGGGTATCTTCAATATCTCCATGGCGCCCTGAGTAACACATTAGACAGTGTTTTCTTGTACAGGCGGTATAGATGTGAACTCACAGTTTATTCCTTCAATTTTGGAAACCGATGCAATATTTCCAGCACCAAATGCATGAGCTGGATGTGCTAATAGCAGCAGGATCGCAAAGGATAGAAGCAGCGTCGAGCTGCTGAACGAAATCATATTTGCGATGATATATTCGAATAGTTGTTGAACTTATGGAGGGGTTCAAATCGAACGCAGCAAGAACAAGTAGAAATAAAAAGAAAACTGAATATGAGTAGATTAGTGGACCAGCCGATGGGATGTTTTGTGAGGGGTCAAATTATGTAGCAAATAGGTAAGCCAAGCCGAATATCTTCAAAATTGGTGGGGTTTTTGATACGATATTCGCTGTACGCCAAGTCAAGATGATCCAGTAAGATTGAATCTCGCACGAGAAAGGAATCAAAGGATGTTTTATGTTGGTCCTTGCGGTCAGCTGCGATTCTGTGAATGAAGGAGATTTGTGTAGCAATGGAGGGGAATGATTGGAAAGCTTGTCATCAGTGAGTGTACTTTGCAATGAGTGTTATGACCTACCTGATGGCGATCACTGATACACAAAACAAACAGGAGTTGCGCCGGCGTTGTCAAAGAGTACTTAGGTAACCTTACAAGCTCGATGAGTGGAGAGATGGATAGCTATGGTACTTGGGTATTTAGGTATGAAGGTGTTGAAGTGGATACCAAGGTAGGTTTAGATTTTGATGTGGGGTGTTAATAAGGTTGGTTAGGTGCTTGAGGAAGGTACGAAGTACGTATTGAAGTCCTGGAGGAAGGTACGAACTGGATGGAGTACTTGGAGTCTGGAGGTACCTGACTGATTAGGAATACCTAGGTAGTAATAGAATTTGCTTTTGAAGGCCCAATTTAAATAAAATGCCCAAGAAGTGAGGTTTATCTTAAGTTTTGTCCGATAAGTACGCCTACCTGACTGGCACCTGTTGGGAGTGAATGAATATCCATATAAATGTGTTTTGAACCGTTGTAGAGCTTTCGATGGGGTTTGTTACGTGACCTTTGTTTTAGTAGGGTGTGCCCAGGTGATTTAGAACATTCTGTTGAAGGTTGAATTCCCATCAAAAGTACGAATTCTTTGAGATGGGGGATTCAATGGGAACTTCCAGCGGTGCTCCGATATCGAGGTAGATGGGTGTATACTGTATGTAGCATGATTTAAGATGTTGGAAGTGCGACAGTCAATATATATATCCATCCATATCGATATGAATACAGCTTCTCCAACCTATCCAAACAGTATCCAATTGTTGGAGAAATCATATTCATATAGTAGTGGTAGTGGTGGTGGTGGTGGTGGTGGTAACATTAAAGCTAATGAAACAATAAACCAACCAACACAGCAAGAAATCTGAAGTCTGAAATCTGAAATATTGAAAAGCAAAGGAAGCCAAACCAGATCAACCCCAATCACTAGAGCAGAGAGCACATGTGCTAAGGTAATTAGGCTTAATATGGGTAGAGTAGGGTCGAGTAGGGTAGAATAGGCCGGGTTATATCGTGATACGAGAATATCTTTAGGTATACCCTGTAACGCGCCCACAAAAGACAATTTTTCTGTTACCAAATATAAATTGAATCAGTAGGAAGATGAGTTGAAATCAATTTTAATCATTCAGTCCATTTCAGTACTCAGAATCGGTATTGGTACCTAGCTGGGTAGTGCTCACACAATCTGTAGGAGGAAAAACAGACTGGAATTGACTACTGTTGAAGCTATTCACCGATCAGACTGTTCTCTTCTGGTGTTCTCATTCAAAGGATTGACAGTTCAAATATGAAAAAATAACGGTGCACAGTATCATATCATAAATTTCGGTATCTTGCGAATGAAGTTCTCATGTAGCCATTCTTAACCTCATTCTGATCAAAATCTCCTTCTCACATTTATTATTACCCCGAGGACCTAGGTACCTTCTGGAATAGGTCAAATGAATACTATACCTATCAGGTGTTTATTAATCTGTAGTACAAGATCACCGAAATCGGGACGGGGAAGAGGAATCTTTGAGGCTTCGTAGCGCCGAAATGTATAGAGATCTATACCTAGCTAGGTACTAGATTCAATCAAAAAAGACCCCGTGGCCTCCCCTATGAGAATGATACAGTGCCAATATAAGCAAAAGCAAATGAATCAAGGTGAGTTGGGAGAAGCAAAAGAAAGTGCTTTCACGGTTTGGGGCATTGAATTGAGTATCCATTAGATAGATATAGATTCTTGAATAGATGCTGGTGGTAGTATCGCTTTGAAATCATTAGGTGTTCAATATACAGTTTCTGATAAGAGCAAACAATAATAATACTACCTACGATAGGTACCTACCTACCTACCTACCTACCTAACTTATCACTACAATAAAAGAAAGAAACTGCTTTGAAATGCCTACATACAACAACACTGCTAATCTTTTATCTACTGCCTACCTAGTACCAGTATTCACTGCTTTTCTTCCAATACCTAATACCTAGGTAATTAGGTATATGTATATGCACTCTCTCTCGCATTCTCATACTGTACCTGCCCTGCCCTGCCCTGCCCTGCCCTGCCCTACTACAAAATACCTACAAGTAGTAGTAAAATCAATACATCTTTCAGTGTTCAATTTTAAAAATGGCGCGTGTTTTCTTTACCCCCTACACTCATAATCTACCTAGTGCTGATTCTTACTCTACAGTAGAAGAAGAGAAAAGAGAAAGAAAAAAGAAGAAAAGAAAAAAAAATTAATCAAAAAATCGAAAAATCTTTTACTCGCTCTACCCCCTCCCCTCCCCTCCCCCCACCCCACTCATTCAATTATTCCTTTCCTCACTACTGGTACTGTACCCTACTTTTCCCTACTTTTCCCTACTTTTTCTACTTTTCCCTCGTTTCCTTCACTCACGCTCATACTAACGCCCACGCCCACGCCCACACTTACACTCACACTCACACTCACAAACGAGTTGGTGCGGCCTTCCATTAACCCCCCAGTGATCTTAGTGATCGGAAAGCCCATAATCCGCTTTTAAATAATTCACCTTCCCCCCCCTTCCCCCAAAACCTAAACAAACCCCAAACATAATCCCTCAAAATTTACTTCCCTCTCATACTTCTCAGGCTTGAAATATCAGCAACGACAGCCTACAATCCAAAAACATACACAACCTCTTTCAATAACATACATACATACATACCTACTCACTCACTCACTCACTCACTCACTCACTCACTCCCTCACATAACATATTAATCAGAAAATAATTAAAAAATGCCTCGTCCAAAGAAGACGGAAGAAAAACCAAAGGAAGTTCCAGCTGGTGATGGAGCAACTTTACAAATCGATGTTGCAAGCTTTGTGAGAACTAGAGATACTGTAAGTTTCCTCTTCTTTATTCTCACTTTTTTTTACATTCCTTGTCTCGAGCCATTCCATCTTCTTCATCGCATTCCTCCAATCTATCAACTATCCCCCCGCCATTACCTATATACATCATTCCCATCAGCTATAGTTCAACAACTACAAACCACCTATATTTGAATCATACAAATATCGAAATCGCACCTTGACGCGACTCGATTGCACCTATTTTCACGTCCAAAAGCCCAACTCCAAAATCTCCCTCAAAGTCTTCAATCACGCGTCAATACTGTTTACATCTGATCGACTCTTTCGCGTTTCGATACAATGGCGACCCCACCAACCCGCCAGCAAATGGATTTAAACTTGTATCTTTGTGAGCAAACGCTAATGTGGTCAAAGTTCATCGGTGGTCTCGCGACTTTACAAGAAGCTATCTCCAGTGTTTCCTCCGCCTACATCAAACATACCAATGCTGTCCTTGGCGAACATGGCACCGGCTATACCATCGACACAGCTCTATCCAAGCTCGGCGATAATCCTCTCCTCGAAACTTTGGGTGCCCTTCAACGCGCTGCAAGTCCCATCATAGCTAAAGCTGTGGATACTGCTCCAGAGAAGAAGGAAAGAAAAAAGAGACAACACGATCCAAATGCGCCAAAGCGTCCTCTGACTCCATTCTTCCTCTACATGCAAACCGCTCGTCCGATTATCGCAAAAGACCTTGGTGATGTTCCCAAGGGAGAAGTTTCAAGTGAAGGTACAAAGAGATGGACTGATATGGCGCCTAAGGATAAAGCTGTAAGTTTTGTTATCTAAGCTCTTTTTTTATTACTAATAGTATTTCAAGCTTTGGCAAGATGCCTACAAGGATAACCTCCGTCTCTACAATGCGCGCATGCACTCCTATCGCAGAGGTAACCTTACAGCCAAGGAAATGGGTGATGATGCTGCCGCAGCATACGCCGATGAGAACAACATTGGAGCAGATGCTTCTGCCGATGCTCAACTCGTAGGAGAAGCTACCGCCGGAGTTACAGCTACAGTCGAGGAAGAAGAAGAAGATGCCGAGGGTGAACCTGAAGCCGAAGCCGAAGTTGAGAAATCACCAACTCCAGCTCCCAAGACCCCAAAAGCCAAGGGACGTAAATCAAAAGGCAAAGCCGATGTCGCTGAAGAAATCCCCGTTCCATCATCTGCTTCTATCGTCCCCCCTCAAAAAGAGGCGAGTCCAGCTAGAAAGCGTAAGCGCTCTGGCAAGAAGGCTGATGAGCCAGTTGTTGCTACTACTGAGCCAGAAGAAGCACCGGCAACAGTTGAAACACCTAAATCAGCACCAAAGTCTAGAAAGAAGAAGGCTAAGACTGATGCATAGATTAAGACGATGGAATAAAGACAATCAATCATGATAACAAATATTAAGATCTTTTTCTTTTTGTAGTTAAAGATTCTAGCTACTCAGGCGTGGCGTTAGCATTTGATTTCTTTCTTTGCAATTGTGTTTAGGGAGGTCTTTTTAACATAACATGCAATTGTCGCTTTGGTTTTCTCTCGCTGTTTCTTTTTCTTCTTCCTTTTCCTTTTCCTTTTCATACACTTTTTGTCGTAGTCGAATGGTTGATGGATATGGATATGGACATGGATATGGATGATTTGCGTGAATTCTGTTTACTTTGATTTGATCAATGGACATGGATGGATGAACCGATGGGGTTATCGCACTTTAGCTGGTACAAGGTACAAAATGGGTGGATTGGTTGATTGATTGATTGGTTGAAAGGTATACCTTTACCTTTTGCTTGCTGTGAGAGAAGCAGGAGGATCAATTGAATTACTTTCTTGAGCTGTGAGTGAGTGAATTATGAGGTTTTGTGTGAATGGAAACAAGATGGGATGGTAAAGCAGGGAGGGGAAGAGAAGATGAGAGGGCAAGGCAATGGGAATGGGAATAGGTTATGCATTAGGTAGGTAGGTAGTTAGCTTTCTAACTTTCTATCTATCTATCTGTGTTGCTAGTGGGGTGGGATGGCATGGCATGGCATGAATAAATGGCAACTTTGATGTTATACCTACTCTTCTTCTTCTTTTTCTGATGATGATGATGAATGAATGTTCTTGATATTAGTGATATTGTTGTTCTTGTGAGATGTTGCTGTTTTTATGTGAGGGGTGAGGTGTGAGGTATGAGGTATCAGGTGTTTAGATAGCTAAATAAACAATGAGTATGCATTCATGCTTTTCTTAATGGAGGGGATAGAATGCGATGTGATGTGATGCGATGTGATGTGATGCGATGAAATAAGGTGGATTGGTGAATTAGTGAGTGAGTGAGTGAGTGAGTAGGTGGGAGGATAGGGAGATGGATTTGTGTGGTGTGGTGGAGATGGATAGGTTGTGGATGGGATGTAGATATGGATGTAGATGCGGATATGTGTATTTGTGGATAGAATGTGTATTTGCTTTGGTAGAGTGGTGAGTGTTGGGTTGGTAGGTTGTGAGGAGGGATGAGAAGGGGGGGATAGAGATGAGGGATGGAGATGGGGATTGATAAGGAAAGGGGAGAGGAAAACTTATGAAGCTTAGGGGGAAAAAAAAGTGAGACGGGGGACGGGGGAGAGAAGCTGGGAGAGAGGAGAGAAGCTGGTTTGGATTGGTGTGGATATGGATATGATAGGAGTATGAATTTGGAAAGGAAAGAAAGGAAAGAATTAGAAACGTGTTGGAGAGAAGGTTAGGAAAGGGTCGTAAAGTGAAAAGTGGAAAGGGGAAGTAAGGGGGGATGGATGAAGGGGATGGGATGGGATGGGATGAAAGGGGAGAGGGAAGAGGGAGGAGGGGACGGGATGGGATGGGATGAAGGGGAAACTGTTGGGACGGGGAATGGGAATGGGATGGGGAGGGAAGAGCTGTAATATGGGGATGGTATAAGACAAAGGAGAAGAAAATAAGTTTGGAGGTGTGGAGAAGATTAGTTTTAAGATGATTTGTGGAGGGTTGGATTTATAGATGGATTGTAGGAGGGGTAGATGATAGTTGGTGGATATAGAGAGGGAGAGGGAGAAGGAGTATGGAGATGGAGATGGAGATTGAGGTTGGTACTAGTGATTAGGATTGGTGAGAAGATTGAATGTGTATTAGTATAGTTATCATAGATAGATAGATAGATAGATAGATATAACATGATAACGAAACTATTGAATTTGAACTTTGATCTACATTTGAACTAACGTTGAGGTGTTGAGTGGGTTGGGGTGGAGTGGATTGGATTGGATTAATAGAGAAGGATTTTGAGAGCTTGGGAATTCGGGATGGGGAGAGGAGAGTTGAGGGCTGAGAAAGGAGTTTGAAGAGTTTGGGATAGGGAAGAGGAGGGGAGAGGAGGGGAGAGGAGGGCAGGAGGGGTAGTTTGTGGTTTATGGGTTTTGGGTTTTGGGTTGTGGGGGAGACAGAGTTATGATGCTGATGAGTGAGGTGATGGGGTTGAGTAGATATAGATATACATACAGATACAGATACAGATATAGATATTTCAATACTTTTAAAGTTTATAGATTATAGTAGAGAAAGGAGATGAAGAAATAGTCATAAAGGGCTTAAGATTGTAATACTGAGATTGAGATTGAGACTGAGACTGAGATTGAGACTGAGATTGAGCTTGATATTTTGGGAGTTTACTTATATAGATAGAATTCACTTGATTTGATTATAGAAATTTGGGAAGTTAGAGGGGTTTGAAACGGGATCAAAGAAATGGGGAGGGGAAGATAAAAAAAGAAAGAAGGAAGGAGAAGGAGAAAGAGAAAGAGAAGGAGAAGGAGAAGGAGGGGGAAAGGGAAGGAACGGAGGAGAGAAGAAGAAAAAAAGGAGAAAAGGAGGGGATAGAGGAGGAAAGGAAAGAGAAAGAGAGGAAGAGAAAGAAGTAGAGAAGTATAAGTTGTACTCCTATTGAAAAGTTATAGGATGTAGAATACATATATTCCCTTGGGGTAAGTTTTCATTATTTTTCCCTTCCTACTTCACACAGTTAGATACACATCGATGCATCGCGTAGTCAGCGTAGCTTTATGGAAAGACTGAACTGCTTATGAATTTACTACTACTACTACTATGTCCCCTTGAGTAAGAGACATCGTTCTTGGGATATGTAGGAGAGTGCTTTATCTAGTCACAGTTCTTATGTATAGATAGTAGGTATTAGAGAGTAGATAGCAAGCGAATATACATACAGTATAATTCCATCAAATCTGTATATCCTAGATGAAGTAAGTTAACTTATTACTATTAGATATTTGAGAATCTTAAAGGTACTGGGTAGTGAGGTATTATTTGAATAGTATAGTAAGTAGTAGGTAGCATTTAGAATCTATATAAATATACCTACCTATCTTAATCCACAACCCCTTATCCCGAAACCAGATACGCGAAGGAATATTAGATCGAGTCTAAACTTTAATATATATGCGAGATATACTACGTACAGAGAGACCTCTCGGGATTACCGAATCTCGGTATCGTATATGGGTATATACATGTACAGGAGGGTGACTTTTGATGGAGGGAGAGGGGTTGTGAGGTATGGGTATGGATGGATGTATGAGGGGGAGGGGAAGGGGGGAAGAGTTGGATGCTTAAAGTGGCATCATACGAAAGGATTGATGGAGATAAAGTAACCTTATAGATATAAAATAAAATGAAGAAATTCTCAAGGTAACTCTGTAGAGGATTTCTTGGGGTTCTTGGGGTTCTTGGAGAAAGAAAGTTATGCGCAGGTTGGTATGGATGGTGGGTATGGATGGATGGTTGGTATGGATGAAGGTAGCGTCGCAGTACATAAGAAATTCAGTACCTTTCATATGCCGCTCCCCTGTTCTCTTTAGATTTAGCTACTGAGCCGCATGTTACATTACTACTCTAGATACAGTAAACGTCTCTCTTACCTATGAGTATTCCTTCAGCCCGAGAAACCAATTCTCGAGTTTTCGGGCCGTTTTCAAACGGATCTGATCGTGAATCATGATTAATTTCATCAATCTCCATTCGTCGGTCGTTACTCACAAATGAATTTCTATCCACACAACAATATAGTACTCACAATAATTCTGTTGCCTACAATACCACGATACACTCCAAACAACCCAAGAAACCCTGCCGTGAAGCACTCCCCAAAAAGATGTCAAAACCCCTACAAAAACTAACACGGAAGATATTTTAATCCACGATATAGTGGATTACATACAACAGAAGAGCCTATAACAAACCACCAATTTGCGGCTTCATCCTTTCAGGGGTTTATCGTGGCGCTGTTTTGTTTTCAATACACGCTAAGAGGTATCAGTAGCCAATTAGATTGAGTGGAGAGATGAAATCGCCCCGTTGTTTCCAAAGCTTTTTGATCCTGAGGAGTAATTTATTTTCCGCTCGTGGGAGCGATAGGGATGTGTGTATATGTTTGTGTGTGATTGAATCTCATGCGACGTAACCTTATGAAGGGAGTTGGAGGGAAAATGGTAAAGGAAATTGAAATGGATAACTCGGCCGATAGAAATGGATAGGGAGGATGAACTGTCCGCGAGAGAGGCTCTAGGATCCTTCTTTCATTCGAGAATTGGTTCGCGGTTTGTATATATATGTTATGTACCTTTCTTTGCTTATTCCCAGAGCCTCTTTCTTAATTATCAATCTGTCAGGATACGGGTTTTGATACGCATTCTTTTGTTGAAGTTCTGTTCGTCGTTGTTTTGAATTTGGATTTGGGGATACTCCTCTCGAATAGTTTCTTCATACATTCTTTACAATAAAGCATCTTTACTTGTTACATTCTTTCTGAGCTGTTTTTTTTATTGCAATAATGCATCTATCAGTCCTTACCATTTTAGCTTCTTTAAGCCTTATCTCTGCAAGACATCTACCTCTACACTCGCTTCAATCTGTTCGCAATGCAGGATTATCTGGTTGGTCTGTCCAGGCCTCTACTTGTCCGACAGGCAGCACATCTTGTGGAGATACGGCGGCTGGTGCATGTTGTCCTTCGGGAATGTTTTGCGCTACGCCTGCGAATTCCGAGGTTGCTGCTTGCTGTCCATTTGGTATGATATCTTTACATTTTCTTTTTCTTGTTCTAGCTGAGAATTCGATTGGGATCCAACAAATCTAATGCCCAACAGCGGGAGAATGCAGGAGTGTAATTGAAGCCGCACCCAAATGTGCAGACGCCTCCTGGAATCTATGGGATGGGTTGGATGGAAATGCTTTCTGTTGTGAAGTGGGACTTTTGGGAGCTTATGATCATATTTCTCACCGCGCGGGAACGTGTGTGGAGACTGTTGTGAAGCCTACTACTTCGGCGGTTTTGGTAAGTGGAGGTTATCTTGTGATTTGACTTGGAAGAAAGACATTGATATTTTTGTAGAGATCAACTGGAACAGGTTGTGCAGCAACATCTTCCGTCGTTGCTACTACGAGCGCGATTTCTACTACTATCACTTCGATTCAGGAAACATCTACAATCGTGTCCGTAAAGAGCACCATTACTTCGAGCTCTGCTACTTATGCTTCTGCTTCTGCTTCTACTTCTGCTTCTAGTTCCGGTAATTTATCCCCACTATCCTTTCCCTGATGTTTGGTTTATCGAGTACTAATCTACGTTTGAAATTTTAGCCAAAATTGTTAGTCAAAATGATTTAGCTGTTGCTGCTCCTGCTACGAAAGCCTCATATTCCAAGGCCACGTCATCAACCAGTTCTAGAGAGGCATCAAGTGTAGTTGCAACCTCAAAATCTGCATCTACATCTGCGATAGCAACTGCAGCTGCAGCGACTACCGGAAAACCTGTGTAAGTATCATCTAATCATGCATTGGCAATCATCTAATCTCTGTTAGCTTCTTTCACTATATGATAGGAGGAGTCAATGATACTCATTGTGAGCAAGATATTGTTGATGCTATTGCATTAGGAGTCGATGCGTTTGCTCTCAATTTAGCCGTAACATTAGATTCTGGCCATTCGTGGGCATTGAACGCTGTCAACTCTCTTTTTAAACACGCTCAAACTCATAACTTCAAACTCTTGTACTTATCACTCTTCCCACAAACAAAAACATCAACTAACTCTTGACTAGTTTCTCATTTGATATGACCGGATTCAATTCTCCTTCCCAATTCATCCCTATTCTCAAAACATACGTC